GACGTTTATTTTGGTTGTTTTAGTCCCACATTGTCTTTCGTGTCGTGACAAGTCATTTTTAAATGATACGCACTAAAAATAAATATGCAAAAGCTAAATTTAGCGGGCAAAATAGAGCTAGTTAGCTACCAAATCCACAAAAAGCCTATTTGTCCTGAACATTTCACTGATAATATAGAAAGAAAATACTTTCGTTCTGCGCTTAAACAATGACTTTCCAACACGAAGATGATCTATTCAAAAGAGATAATATAATAGTTTTGGGGCGGCCGCAGTTTCGTTGAAATCATGCAGTTTTTCCGGAAAGCTCCACAGCCCATGGGATCTCAGTCAATCTAGAAGCGAATTTTCTTTTCAGCCTAAATAAAAATGATTAGTAAAAAGAATAGTGCCCTTATTTTTGACCCAAAAATGCTTGTTAAAAATACATAAACAGACTAGAATCTTGATTACTTTTTCATTTCACAAACATGAAATATTCAATGGCGTTGCCCATGTTTCTCATATGGTGCGAAAACTTACTTTCATATGACACATGCGGGTTTTTTCTGGACGCTCAGGAGGTCAAACGATGTGATTTTTAATGAAAAAATATTCACAAAATTCTGCTCGACTTGTTCTGAAAATAATTTAATTTTTAATAATTAACCAACAGCTCACTGATTTATTAATTTGGGCTAACAACTTGGAGGCCCGGGCACCCCAGCTAAAATGTTTGGGAGACCAAAGGGCTCCCTGAAAATTTTATTTGGGCACCATCTAGATCTTTTAGGTTAAATTGCTTGGGAGCCCAACTAGGGCTCCCTGAAATTTTCCCTAGAATGTAGCCTTGCAGCCCTTTTAGCCCTTACACAATAACACAATAAACTTCACAAGTAATGATACATTACATGCTATTGTTGAATGTGGAAGTGCATTTTTTTAGGAAATTAGTAAAGGGAATGCAAATTTAAGTGAACCACCCCATACTCTTAACATATGGTGGTAGTATTGATGTAACTTTTGGTTTGCGTAACAAAGGAACCCTTGTGTGTAACAGGCTAATGACTGGTCTGTCTATAAGTTTTATCTTTACTTGTAAGGGGATTGTGAAAATCACTACTGATTTGATGAAATGCTTATTGACTTTCAGGCGAATCTAGCACAATTCTCAACAGGCTGTCTCATAATTGTCCTAATTTTTTTCCCATAATTCATGCTCTGTACCACTTGAATGAAGTTGAAACATGCGCGTCTGTTTACACTTTCTTTATCCTCACTGAAAAAAGTAGCTAAATATGGAAAAGGTTTTATTTCTTCTACTGACAGATTGACTTGCAGCTTATTTTTAGCCAAGTTCACTTTTTGAAAAATGTTTTAAGTTGTTATGTATTGTTTATAATGTGTAGTTCTAGAAAATAGCCCCACAGTGGGCACTTTTGCTTTAGACCCCTCATCCCCCAGGAATTTCCATTGCAGATGGTGCTTAATTGTCATACCCCCCCCCCCTAGAATTTCCTCTGGAATGAATATTTGTGTCAAAAATGTTGTTGCACGATATTGTTACATGAGTATTGACAGCCAGTAGTCTCAATAGTAACAAGACTACTGGCTGTGATGGTATCCCAGCAAAGGTTATGAAAATCGGGGCTGAAGAACTATCTCAGCCGCTTACTACATATTCTGTTCAATTCATGCATACATAATGGCAAGTGGCCTGTGGCTAGAAGCGTGGGAACTGGACTCCTGTTTACAAAAAGGATGACAAGTATTCTAAAGAAAACTACAGGCCCATTACTGTCCAACCATGTGTGGACAAAGTTTTTGAACAACTAGTAGCTAAGGCACGCAAATCACTGACGCAAATCACTGGTGGCTTTGATGGTCGCATGTATGAATATTTATCTGCCTATCAAAAAGCTCACAGCTGTGAGACAACAATGATTAACTTAGTTGAAGAGTGGAGACTGGCGAGGGATAATAAACTTGCTGTGAGCATTCTGTCGACAGACATGTCAAAGGCTTTTGACTCTTTGGATTCGCCATTGCTGCTCAGTAAGCTGAAAGCATATGGTTTTCAGGAAAGCGCATTACAACTTTTACATAGCTATCTACATGACCGGAAATATCATGTGAAATTAGGAAGTCATGTGAGCACATGTAGAATGGTCAGCAGTGGTTGTCCCCAGGGCTCCTCCCCTGGTCCATTGCTGTGGAATATCTTTCAGAACGATCTGCGTAATGACAATCTTAACAATGTATGCAGACGACCACCAAATATATCATATTGGATCTGATCAGTCTAGTGTTTCATTCAAGCTCAAAGATGCTACCAAGTGGTATGACACCAATCTTCTTGCTGGGAACCTCTAGAAATACCAAACTACAGCCAGGCAATCAACAGTGCGGCATCTGCACTTCGTGAACAATGAGGAAATAAAAAGTGTAGAAAATCTCAGACTCTTAGGTGTTACAATAGATTCCAAATTTACCTTTACTGATCACGTTAGCACTATTTGTAAGAAACTAGTCAAAGAATTGGCATGCCTATGTGACCTAGGAACTCAATTCCAACTGAGGCCAAGCTAATGCTATTCAAATCAGCAGTTTTACTGTACCTTTTGTATTGCCATTAATTTAGTCTGGCATTTTTGTAGATGTAGTGATGGGCGAAAACTAGAAAGACTGCAAGAAAGGGGACTGAGGGCTGTGTATAAAGACAAGCATGCAAGTTATCAACAACTTCTTGAGAGGGCAGAATTACCATCACTACTGAATAGACGCCTACAGGATATTTGCATCCTTATGTACAAAGTGAAGAACAATCTATGTCCAACTTATATCTGTAATCTTTGCTGTAATTTTTTCTTTTCATAACTCTTCTTATTCTTTATGACATTCGGATTTCTCTATTCCTAGATATAATACTGTAACATATGGTAAACATTCTTTAAGGTATCTTGGGCCTAGGTTATGGCGAATTTAACATCGGCGAAAACTCTGAACATCTTTAAAAGTAGAATTCGTAAAAATGATATAAGCTCAATGATAGATGATGGATGTAAGAGCTGTTCTCTCTGCACATCATAACCATTTAATTTTACAATTCTCTCTTAGTTATTTTAGATTATCATTAGAGTATAATATATTATGCATAGTTTAATTTTTTTTTACTTTTATATTTTATAGGTAATTCCAATCATTTAATTATAGATTGTGTCCCCAAATTAGTATGGGGTTGTTCCCAAGCTATACGGGTCCGACACATTAATAAAGTTTTCTATTCTATTCTATTCTAAAGAGAACTTAAATTTTCCTTCAATAAAATGAGAAAAAATCTTTTCATCCATGTTAATACAGTGTCTAATAATCTCAAGGATGTTCTTAGCTGATTTAGCTGATAATTAGCCATAGAGGAGATACCTTACACTGACTACACAAATAATGTCATCTGCAAAAGAACCAGTTACATTTAAACTAACCCTAACCCTAACACCACGTGAACTTTCATTACTACAAGAAGGCTTAGAACACAACCAAATTACGATGAATGAAATGTGTAACAAAGCAACAGCAAGATAACTGGAAGTTTATTCATGAGCCAATGACAATTGTGTTAAAGAAAACTATTGCATAAGCCGTGAAAAAAGTATTTAGCCAACCAGAGATAAAAGATGATCAATGCAAACAATAATACTTGTTTTGAAACACTGGTAACAGTAAAACAACTTATAGCTTGCCCTCCGTAGGGGCGGGGGGGGTGGAGAGGGCAGTATGGATATTCTCTGGAACTACACCCTTTGTGTAGGTTAAAGAATTATTAATAGTTGTTGGTAGCAAAAAAGGTCAGGTATCCTCTTAATTAGCTTTAGTAAAATTTTCTTTCAAAGATTGTCATGTATTAAATTCTTGTTGCATCTACAACCACAGCAATATGTGTCTATTTCACTTCACTAACACTTATATGCAAATTAAACTCTTCATACGGCAGGTCTCGCTAGAGACAAAAATGTTGCTTTGATTTCTCACATGCTTGCCTTTTTGGAACCCTCTTTATTTCGACCATCAAGATTTTTTAACCTTTACTTCAGACTTTTCATTCCAACCTCCCAGTAAAGTTGTCAGAAATCTTTTAACTGAATAAAGTCACACGACACGCTTTAGGACCACATAACTTAAACCTTCTGGCATATTTTGTTCTTCTATTGTCTCCAAAACAATCAAGATGTTTCACCATTTCCTCTTACAAATAAAAGGAGACATTTGATTGACAGAACAATTTGCATTTATTATCAACGTGTTTCAATAGGTATGATTCCGTAATGGTGTTGGTGGGGTTGGGGTATGTAGTTTGGAAGAATTTTTTCCAAGCTTATTATAAGCTAGTATACTGTCATCGAACTTGATGCATAATGTTTGTTGTTTTTTTTTTTTTTTTTTTTGCTGTTAACATAAGAATTTTAGAGTGATGGAAGAGTTTTTTTGTTCATTTCAAGTGTGTTTGTGTTTTTTTTTTCTCAATCACCCACCCCTTTCTCAAAAGGTAAATTTTGTAGAAGGCTCTTACCATAAGTAGGGATTTGAAGATTTCTTTTTAGTGTCTGAGATTTTCTTATATTAAAGTTAATAATTACATTTATTATAAGTATATAATTGGGGGCTTGTCTTTTAGCCCTAGCTAAGTCTATATTGTAATTATGATAAGCATCACCAAGCTCACCCTCAAATGTTATGATCTTGTCATGAATAATTAGGGTTTGGAGGCAAAAGGCATGGAGAATTAATCAAACCAGGTTCAAAACCATTTTCACCCTTTACCTTTTAAACCTAAAATATAAAACTTCATTTGGCCTACAACATGAAAATGTAGTTGTTAACTAGGTACTTCAACAGGCTGAAATATGAGTTGTTTGTGAATCAAGTAGTATTATGATAGGAAATGCTAATTTGTGTTCCATTTTTTATTACTTAATTATCTTTCTTTTTTCTACAAGACAATGAAATTATTTTATGACTATTGATTACTTTACTCATTTCAATTTCCAGACTATGCATTTCTAAGAAGCCTTCCTCATGTAGAAGCAATGCTTACTTGTGTAAAAGCATTTGAAATAGGTGACTACGAGCTATTAAGTCAAATTGATGATGTACTGGTAAGTAAGATCCATGTATTAATTTCTGGATTTTTGGATGATTTTTTAATTCGAACTTAAGTAGTTACAGGTAGGTTGCATTTGTTATATGTTTTTGGTTAATATTTCTTTTCAGTTGAGTAAGAGAAAGTACATAGAATCCTGGCTTAGAGGAGATATGGATATAAGCCTCCATGATGTGCATACGGACATTCAAGTATCACCTGACAATGAATTGACTTCTCATATTCCAGTTGTTTACTCAGACAGTACAAGTAGTGAGAGGGAGGATTTGCACAGTACTCCTTCCTATGGCTCACCTGCAGCTGAAGGACAAATTGACATCACTGATTCCTCACTGTTCTGTCGTGGAAGTGACATTGATGATGGTGTTCAAATATATGCTCCTGGGTATGGGGAAAGTTTTTCGTGTTTACCAAAAAGTGTTATTCATTTAGTTAGCGATAGCAATGGAAATGGTCCTTCTCAAACAGCAGCTGTTATTTATGATGCTAATAACTTGACATCAAGCCGATTAAGAACAACAACTGAACGGTCAAAATTGCAGAAAAATGTCAAAGCTACCTTGGCGCATGCTGCACTCTCTGCGGTTATGGAAAGTGATGAGACTTCAAGCAATCCAACAACATGGTTTGGTAATGGTCAGCATGAGGAACATTTGCTGAAGATAAGACGTTCTGCTAGTACTGGTAGTCTTAATGATAATTTGCTGCATTCTAAAATTGATGTTACTGACTCACAAACATCAATCATAAAACCAGTATCAGATGGCAACAGGTTTGAAGTAAGGATAACACCTTCAGAACCTCAAGTGAAGAAAGTGCTTGGGCACTACAGGTCAAGATCAGATGAAATAGGGGTACCAAAATCTCTACAACCGGAGTTTGTTGTTGATAAACAAGGGGAAAGTGAACATCGTCCAGTTTTGTTTAGCAATGTAAGCAGATTGTCATCTTCGCTTCCCACCACGTCAGGTAAGTACCCTGTAGACTGTAGCCTTGATTATGTTTAAGACATTGGAAGGTAATTTAGTTTGTTCAGCTTTAAATTGAATTTCCATGCATTTTTTGTAAATTATTGACAAAATAGTTTTTGGGAGATATTTCATTATTTATTGCCGGGAAAAAAATAAACCCTTGTGTACTTCATCACCTGTTTGTCTGTAAGATCATTGACTTTTTAGACCGTTTAGTGGTGAGTAAATGATACATAGAGAATACTTCATGGAAAGGGTGCGGTATTTACGCATGAGTTGTTGATGTATCAGAAATCGAACGAGTGAGATTTCTGATACAAAAACAACAAGTGGTATTGTGTTTATTATATACATACTGAGACATTCAGTCATCATTTTGGCCGCCTTTTTATTTCAGTTCTTTCCAAAATGCTAAAATTTACTACTACACACCACCAAATAACAAGGAAATCGAATTATCAGCTTCTTAGTAAAAACGTTTGTTGAAAATATAATGAGGGTACGAGGATATGAGGTTATCCAAGAACTACAAGTAATCTTAACTGTTTGTTCTGAATGCACAATTTTAGTGAAGTAAAATGGCCGGTTTGAATGTAAGCTTAAGGTGACTCGACTCAGTTATTTTGTGAGGATACCATCCTACTTTGAAGCTCTCTGGTATCCCCACCTTTACTTTGATTGTAAGTCTAGCATATAGCATGGATAACATATAGATCAATCTACAATATAGCATAAATTTTTTGGCGATCGGAGTAATTGTCACGTGGTTATAGTGCCACGCCTCTTTGGGGTCTGAGTCGAAATTCTGCTGTTGCCGGCATTTTTTCGGAAAATCTCTCGGCTACATATAGTGCGTACTAGTGCCTTGCGTTGAACAAACTTTTACCAAAATCGCAAAGACCCAATGCGAGAAATTTAGCGGTTTCCAAATTTAGGTCATAATTTATGCAAAAATGAAAAGCCAATTTTACACGATTATATCTAATAAACTATGAAATTTATCTCGTTATTTTGGGGATCTTTATAACAGATGGGTCCTTGCAAGTCAGCAAAAAACTCTAGGGCCTTGTAAATGCGCGCGATTTCTTGCAATGCAAACATATACAAATTATAGTTTTAGTTGTTGACGTTCGTCAGCGTTTAAAAGTCCTTCTCACGAAAAAAGCATTTTCTTAAAAATTCGTAGTTTTTTTTCCTTCAAATTTTTTCACGGCCACAATTGATTAACTAACTACCCGGATTCTGAATTTCATGATCATTGAAAATCTTCGAGAAAAAGTCATATTGTCTGATAATGCATTTGCCTCCTCAATCTCAGTTCCAAAAATATATTTATCTGATGAAGTTGGTGTATTGCAGAGCCTCTGTACAGTAATGATCCTTTTCTGGAGGACCCTTATGAGCAAAAATCTCTGGCGGAAATGCTTGCATCACAGGATTTCAGCTCGTGTGAAATGGACAAAGTATGGCTGTACATTGCTTACTTTACACCTTCTACTGTTCATTTAGAGAAAATACGCATTCATTTGTGTGAAACGGCAACCAATAGCACAAATTAAGATACGTTCATTAGCACGAAAAAGCAAATATCTGCGCATAAATCAGATTCAATAACATGACTGGGTATTCATATGCGTCATTTGGCATACAAAGGAGAAAAGTATACTTTCATTAAGGCAAACATCTGAGGCGTTAACACCATCTTGAAAGTCAATAGGGACAATATACAAACATTAAAGTGCAATCACTATTCATTAACATGTTTGTGACACTGTTTGCAATTCAATAGCATTCCAGGATGGCCTTAGTGTGGATAAGACAAACATTAATGCACTTGAGTGTTCTTTACATTAAATTTTAATATGCAAAAACTGATTTTCAGTTAAACAGTACCAATTCCAAAAAAAATGGCCTGAATTTTTACGCTATCTGTTTTAAAGAAACCGTGCTTTACTTTACTGTACTGCACCACTGTGTGTTCGTAGACGGCTGTGGCTCATTTTGATGGCCAGAAGTCGTGGTAGGGCATGACAGGGAGAGAGGGCATACCGCTAAGTGTGCAGCCAACGAGGACGTGGCAATTATATCACCTATCAATGTTTTCCTCAGCAGCTGCTGGCGTAATGAATGCTGTGTCGGTTTTTCGGTGACTTCCTAGCACAGGCAAGGACAAATATGGATCCCGACGAGTGGGTGATCTTTGCATATGACAGAGTGCTAGACCACCGAGATCTGGCCATTCCCGCCCCATATGTACACAGCTTACGCTCCACTCTACATCATGGAACAGGTTAATTTTAAGCGCTCTGAAAGCAGCAATCAAGCGCAACATCTCACGTCGGGAAATTCAAAGATGACCATATATGGAATTGGATAACAGGAATGAGGCCAAAGCCCTGGGAATCACACCAGGGGAGTTTCAAACACAACAACTGCTTGAAACTCTTCACAGAAACATAGGCACTGTGACCGCAGCTAATTGTGCTAATTGTGCTAAGATGTTTAACTAGAGAAGTTATTGAGGGATCTAATAGACTGAAATTCAGGCCAGATTTGTTTGAATTTTAGTTGTTTAATTGAAAATCGATTTTTGTATATCAAATGTAAAGAAAGCTCAATTGATTTTACAAGCCCAGAAATGTTTGCTTTATCCATCCAAAGGCCGTCCAAGAATATTAAAAAAAATGCTATTGAATTTCAAACAGTGTCATAAAAAATATTTAATGTTAATGAATAGTGTTGGCACTTTAATGTTTGTCTATTGTCCCTATTGACTTAATCAAGATGGCGGTTAATGACTTGGATGTTGGCGAATATATTAATAAAGTATATATGAATACCCAAAAATGTTATTGAATGTTGATTGAAATGCAAAAATTGTTATTGAATCTGATTTATGCGCAAATGTTTGTTTTTTTGCAGCAATGAATGTATCTTTGTGCTATTGGTCACCATTTCACGCAAATGAATGTGTATTTTCTCTTAGTGAACAGCAAAAGTTGTATATTTATTTAATGTATATATTTTTAAGCACAATATAAACAAATATGGATATTATAAGAAATAGAAGAAAGTGTTATTGTGTCGGCAAATTTGTGAAATCAGTGCCTTACATATTCCTTACCTAATTTAGCCCTTGTAACGTGGCTGATGAAGGAATTAAAGAAAAAGGAAAAGAAAAGTGGGGGTGTAAAGCCAAACCCTGTGATTTTTTGTCTCCTGAGATCAAGATGCACCCTTATATATATGTGCCTAATTAAAAGAATTTATCTGTAAGATCATTGGAGGAATACAAGGAAGTTAATAAAAGCTTTCAGTAGTAGTGCTGCCTTTTTGCAAGGTTTCTAAGGTGCCAAACAATTTACACAAGGTTACAAGGTTAGTTATCAAATGCTGCAGTTATTCAATCAATTAAATTCAAATTCTTCTAGTTCTTCCACTTCCAAAAATTATGACACAATTTGGTGTGAAGGACAAACGTCATGTAGAAGTGAGCCATTCAGCGCAGAGTCAGTTAACGGTGCTGAGGGAAGTGAAAGTAGCCCTGCTCTTGGGGTAATTAATTGTGCAGCTTTGTCACTTTTAAGCACAGATGAATGAACTACACTGTGCAGTGGGCTGCAGTTTCGTGCGGTTGTTCCAGTGCAGTAAAAAGGAATTTGTCTCTTGTCAGTGATTGTGTGACCTCTTTTTCAACAGGAAAATGCTCATTTTAGCATATCAGAAGCTTTGATTGCAGCCATTGAACAGGTAAGAAATACACAAATTCATGCAACTGTCTTTAAAATGAGTTTGAAAAGGATAAGGTAAGATAAGAGCTTTATTTTAGCACGATAAAAAGATCAGCATTGCTAGTGGGGTCGTGCATACAACAATTACAAGAAAAATAAGGCGTACTGAAAGCAAATGTACGATTACAAAATAAAAAACTATTATAAATGTTTGTAACCGATATTTCAGTTTTAGTTGTAGCTAAAATAGGTTGTGAAAATGTACAATTGAAAATTAAAACTGTTAAAAGTATTCGTAACCGATATCTCTATTTTTAGTTGTAGCTAAAATTGGTTCAAATTCATTTTATCAGTATCAAATTCTACCAGACAGCGTTTAAATTCTTTCAAGGTTTTGGCTCTTGTTTCCTTGTTCATTAAAGTGTTCCATGTAATTACTCCTCTAAAGCGTGTGGAGTTCCTGATAAAAGTTGTTCTGGCCTTGGAAGAATGATGTTCTCATTTCTTCTGCGGCCTGAATTCCTCTGTAAAAACAAATCTTTAAATTCCGGGACGGTGTAACCTCTTAAACACTTGAAGACAAACTCTTTACATTGTTTCCAGACTGTCCCATCCAGTTCGCATTAAGACCTCTTCAGCGCTAGACGGTCCCTTGGCAACCCATATACAATCCGTCCAGCCCTTGCATGGAGTTTCTCCAGGTTGTTTAGGTGCGTCTTGTTGCACGATCCCCACACTATCAGACCGTTTGTAACTGATGGCAATATCACTTTTGTGTAAAAATCTTCTAATTGCTTGTGAGGGAGGAATCACATGCGTCGGAATAGACTTAACTTTGATGCGAAGGACTTCGCTACATTTGCAGCATGATCTTACCAGGACAACTTGTTATCAACTTGTACTCCGAGGAGTCTTTCTGAGGTTGTCCACTTCATGATGTTGTTGCCAAGACAAAGAGCTTGGATAGGGCCAGTAAAGTTGATTTGCGCTGCATGATCATTGCTTTACATTTATCTGGGAGTGGTACCATCGAATTTCTGTCGCACCATTCCTGGAGTTCAGCTAGAACATTGTTTAGTGAGTTTGTTAGCAAATCCATCGTTTCTGCGATACAGTATATTGTTGTGTCCTCTGCATACAGATAGGTTTCCGCAGAGCGTAGTGATTTTGGGAGGTCGTTTGTGAAGAGGGAGAATAACGGGGTCCGAGAACCGACCCTTGCGGCACTCCATGAGTTATAATGTGTGTATTGGAGTCGCATCCGTTGATTCTTACGAATTGCTTTCTTCTGTAAGGTAGTTCTTTAACCACAGCCAGATATCTCCTCTGATTCCAACGTCGTTCAGCTTTTGTAGTAATATATTGTGCGACTCTGGGTCGAAAGCTTTAGTGAAATCCACAAACAGTATTCCCACAAAAAGCTTTCTTTCTACTGCTTCTCTCCACTTCTCAGTTAGGTGTTCTGTTGACTTTCCCTTTCTATAAGCCCAATGGCCTGTTATCAAGTAAATTTTGCGTAACTACATGATTAGTGATATTACTTGCGACGCAGGATTCCATTAATTTACTTGGCATACTAAGCATATGCAGTGGTCTGTAACATGTTCTGTCTTCCTCTCGTCCTTTTTTGAACGCTGCACTGACTCTAGCTATTTTTCACTGGTCTGGTGGATTGCAGGCTTCAACACTCTGTTTAAACACGCTCGTGAGAGATGTGGCAATAGACATACCTGCATACTTAAAAAGACGCGCAGATACGCCAACTGGCCCCGTAGCTTTCTTCACTTTTAACTTGCAGATCTTTTCCTCGATTTCCTTCTGACTATTCATGATGCTGGTCATAGTCGGCGTATCCACATTCTCACGGCTGTGAGCGTTTAATGGCTGAATTTCATCTGCGGGGCCAATCGATTTTTCAGCAACTGTGCAGAAATAATCGTTTAACATAGTTGCCTTTTCAGTGTCATCTGTTGTAAGGGTTCCATCGTCCTTCTTTAATCGGTGGGCTTGTCTGTTTACTTTTGTTGTTCCTGATGTCTTTTCAGTAGTCTCCAGTAAGCAGCAGCGGATTTTACTTCATCGAATAGATTGGAGTAATAATCGGCTTTGGCTTTATTCGTCATTGTTGATACTTTATTTCTGAGTCTTTTATAATGATCCCATAGCAGTGGATCATTTAGTTGACGCGCCCTTTTCAGAGTGTTATATTTTTGATTCCTGGTTATTCTGATTTCCTTTGTTATCCAAGGCAGGCTGTTACTGCATACTTTAATTTGTTTAAGTGGTGCGTTTTCGTTGCATAATTCTGTGAAGAGCAGGTTCCATGCGTAATAAACATCAGTGTCACTTTGAAAGTTCCTTTCGTTGAATTTGTTGAAGTTCCTGATGGTAATTATTTTAGGCTGGTCTCGCGGGATACTGGCTGATAAAGTTGCACAAATCATGTCGAGATCTGAGTTACCCAGGGAACGTGTGTCCTTTTGTTTGACCAGATCTTTTCTATTCGTGACAATGAGGTCAATCAACGTTTTAGAATGGTTAGTAATTCTTGTTGGTCCTTTTACCACGTTCTTCATATTAAACTGTTCGAGTATCCCTTTCATGTCGTCATGGCGTGAAGTCTTAAATAGAATAGCACTATTACCAAGGAATTGAAACAAAAAATCGCACATTAAAATGCTTAAAATGGCACTCCTTGACTGTGCCATCAACGAAATGTGTTGCAGTGTTGACGGAGGACGGGGCATTTGCCCTCTTTTTTCGTCCCAACCCCGGGGGTTTGACAGCTCAAGAGGCCCCACCCCCGGAAATTTGCCATCCAAGGCATAAAAATGGTAATGCCTGGGGATCAGCCTGGGAGTCAAGGATTGACTGATGCGTAACTTAAATGTACCCGTGCTCTTCAGTCAGCAAGCATATGGTGTCCAGAGGTTCTTAGCAAGAAATGGATTCAAAGATAACTAGATCGCTATAGCAAAAGGCAACTGAATCGGCTTTTAGTTTTATTCTTCAGTCTAATCATGACACTTAGCTTCTTTTGCATGGTAGCCTTGTATGATATTGCCTCTTTTGGGATGGATTATCCTTTCACTAGAGAACTCATTAAAATGTGGCAACACCTCAATTTCAACTTTATTGAGATGCTGATCTGGTATAACTTTCTTATATGTATCAACAGGTTATTATTTAAAGTAGTCTTTATTATTTGTCACTGTCAGGTATTTTCCTAGTTATGCGTATTCTCCTTCATACGAAACCAAACTCCTGGTCTCCCGTACGGGTCCCAAGTCTCCCGGATAAAATCAGCTTTTAAGATCTCCAGAGGTTGGCATCTCTGTTTTCCTCATGATATCTTGAAAAAGGATTAAGAGGTTGCATTCCTTTTAGCCAAACTTTTTTTCGGATTTAGACAATCCAGATTATTTGGATTTTCCTGTTAGCCAGAACAAAAATCTGAAATAACATTGATCCGTACAGTAGCTGCCTGCTGCTCTGATCTTCTTCTCAATTTCAACACATCGTTTTTCATTTCTTTCCGCTAAATTAAGCGTCTTCTCGTGGAGAAATGAAAAGAAAATAGCTCTTTAACTAGTGGTGGTTCATACTGGGACTCGTCAACTTAAAATGATCTGAAATTTGATTCAAGAAAATTCAGGAGACAATTACGAATTCTCAAGTACTGAGAAGCATGCTCTAAACACACGCACATTGGACACTATAGTTTTACGGTGAGAAAATGCAAGCGTTTTTGCTTCGTTATAGATTTAGAGTTAAAGGGAAACTTAAGTTTAGTATACTAAAATCCTTAAATGGCATAGAACAAAGGAGAAGTGTAAATAACTTTTGCCCAAATTAACCTGGACCCGCCGTGTTTATCAATGAATGAGCTCGATCTTTGCAATCGAAAAGCAGTTTCATTAAATAAAATAACAATCTGAAACCAGATTGAGATACCAATCGGAACAATCCTATTGCGGAGGTGGATTGTTCAGATTGCAATCTTAGATTGCTTTAGTCCTCAATGGAACGAAAAATCAAAAGTTTTGGATCGCAAAATCCGGATTTTGATTGGTCGAAAGGAATGCAACCATAATATGTTTCTCTACTTTTTAAAGAGAAGGTTTTCAGTCAAAAGTCATCTGAAACATAAAGACTATGGGCTGCAAATGAGAATTGCTAAAACTATCAACAAAAGCCTGATGCCCTCTTGAGATTTCTTTAAATTAGCTTACAAAATATTTGTAATGCAAATTAAAGTACCTGTCGTCCCATGCCTGAAAACCTCCAGGAAAAATGGCTCACAGATTGTGTGTTGTATGGTTTGGACATAACATTGGTAGAATTGTACCTGCGTAATCAATCCCAGAGAGTGACTACATTGTGGCATTTGTGGCATTTCGTTTCTCTTCCTCTTTGGTAAAATTCAATGATAGAATAAACAAGGTGCCAATGGATGACTCTTACAACTTTCTTAGTTTCAACATTAACATCTCTGCACCAACAAATCCCGAGAACAAAGCGGAAGTATCAAATTCTTTTCAATACTTGAAAGCCAAAAATCATCAAAAAATGTATACAAGCAACTTATAGCGAATGTGAGGGAAAAACCAACACCTTGCACATGTATGGACAAGTGGTACAGCGATATCTGCTCAAGTGACAAAAATGTCAACTGTAGAAACGTTTTTCAAGTACCAACCACTTGCAGAAAAGCTCGAATAATAATAACCTGATTGATTTCAATTTTTAAATTTTTACATGTTTACCAACTAACAGCTATCTACAAAAAGTAAAATAGGGATAAGAGAGGTAAACTGTACATTTGTTGGAAATGCCAAAAAAGTAAAGCTTTTTGGGATAATATTTCGACATGGCTTATGCCGTGTCAGATAGTTCAACCAGATGAGTACTTAGACATATCACTTTAGGTTAGACACTAGGCAACTCATTGATCTAATAAAGCTATGTACTGTCTTTAATTAGATAAAGTGTGACGAGGTTGACACTTCAGATGAGGAAGAGGATGAGGAAATTATACATTTAAAAGAAAAGCTTGAGAGGAAAAGACAAGAGAAAAAGCAAGGAAGACTGACAATACAACAACCTGCCTTCAGTGATGATACAACACACTCAACCACCTCAGAACCAAGTACTACAACAACTTCCTCAAGTGAGTCTGAAGAGGTTATGGTCAAGGGGAAGGGCAGCAATATAGTGTCTTTATTTATTTATTTATTTATTTATTTATCTACCAAAACTGCAACCCCTCATGTAGAGGATTATCATGATCAGCCAGTGTTTTGAATCCCAACCTTTTTCTTTTTTCCAAACGTTAATTAAAGTATATGCCGCATTATACTGTGTTGACTCCATTTTGTTCATTGAAATTAGCATATTAGCTTATAAATGTCCTGGAAACTGGTATAAAAATATTCCACTTTGCCAAGCTGGTTTTGTGATCGTTTTCTACAGATCTTGAACAAAGCAGGTAGGACTGTCCATCTACCGTCTTATAGTAAGCAGACTTGAGTTAAATGATGTTGTTAACGTCAATATTAGCATAGACTGCAAAAGCTGTAAAGAATTCACTGTTTTGGTTTGGTGGCCGGTATGTAGTTCCTACCAGGAAATAACTGAAACAAAGTGAAAAGCAAAGCCAACTTGAAAAGTGCTTGGCATTGCTTTGAAATAACTGTCCTTGACACTGGCCACACAACTCTAATATGGCCTTTTGGTTTGTTAGTTACAGCTGGTTTCATAACATCTTTCAAGCTTTTTTCTTGTTTCAGTCATTGTCATGGACAGTGTTATGACCAGGTTCTCTGAGAATGCGATTGGTTTGAAATCTGCTTTTTGTTGCGTTTAAGAATCTTTGTGTGATAGTGAAGATGAACTTAGTCAAGACTGGGAGGAGATTAGTTCCACAAATGAAGAGCTTCAAGAATATGGTGATTACTTGTATACATCAACTGTTACACTGGTGTCATCAAAAATGGATCTCGCTTCAACAGAATCTGTAGACAACTTGGAGACAAAGCATTCTACACAGTTGTCAGCAGAGACTGTTGCCAAAAATCTTCTCCAAAAGTTTGCCAATAGGAAGCATCCCGTCGCAAATGAATTGCAATGGTTGGTTTCATATCAAGATGCTCCACAATCTCTACTTCCTCTGCCAGAAACTGTTGCTGTTGCACCAGATGATGTTCCACAAGTTGAACTACTAATGAAGAATCCTTTAACCAGGCAGAACTCATTACCGGTAACTTGATATAGCTAGAGTGCAATTATGTACTACTAGAGTGCAATATGTACTACTGGCAATCTAGTAACCATTAGATCTTCAGCAACTGTTACCATCCATGACAAATTACTGATGGTTGTTTATTTCACACTGATTTTTTTACATGCTTTTCAGAAGAGGGACCAAACTTTGCTTCTTCTTGTGTTTTTTTTTTTATATTGGTAAATCTTCAACCCAATAATTATTCTACTTTTGAATCAAGGCTTGTTTTGACTTTTCAGTTCCTTTACTGAAGAGCATGATATTGAGATAAGTAATGAACCTAATACTTAGTAATGCTTGTTAAAACAAATTAATGTGTCCTGAGCCTATTTATATGCGTGTTGGTTTTTTTTGAATCGCGTCTTTCAGCAGGAACAATAAAAAATTTCTAATAAAAAATAGTGGAACTTTAAGAAAATGTTATTTATTTTCTTGTAGGTATAAAAACGTTTGAGATATCGGAATTCTTTTTAAACCGCATTTTGACAAAAAATGTAATTAACTTCGAAATCCTACGACAGATTTTTCCCCAGCGTCAGCAAATAAGCCTCAGAGCTCTCTAGTTTCATATCTGAAAGTTTGAAGTCAATCGTGACCATACCACTCACTGCACAAAATGCTGGTCAAATTCAACCTTAAAATGCTACGCTAACACATTTGTGAAAGTTGACGCACAAATAGAGGAAGAGTGCCGACAGACGATCTCCTATCTGAAACAGGAACTTTCAGTGCTAAAAACTGGTAGGAGGTTTCCGTAGATGCTATATTTTGTTTTGCTGAGATTTTTTTCAAAAAGAAAAGGGCAAATACAGTAAGGGGCTAGTTAAAGATGCGGCGGCGACGAGAAAGTCAAATAAGCAATAGCTTGACGAGGCAAAACAACAACTTTGCACGTGCATCACACTTTTTTGTACATTTCTTTCCCGTAAACTGCACGACTACCCGTGAAAATGCCTAATTTCGTGGATTGTGAAGGACGTAAACAAGCAATGACAAAATTCATTCTCTTCACTTGGATATGGTTGATAGAAATTAAGCTCCAGAAGAGTTCGCTTTCATTCATCGGACAAAGTAAGCGAGTTGGAATAATCACGATATAAACTGAAAAATGTGAATTCCCTTTTCCATGCAACGTTTTCGTGGTTGTCAGCCGTCTTGGTATCTTTTAAAAACTCCCTAATTAATATTTACGCAAGATGTGACCGATGTAAGCGTGAATACCTGTTGTAAGCTCAAGCTTGTATTTTTGGAAAAGTGTCTTTAGTTTTCGGGCAGACAGTATTTTGAAATCAGATGGGGATTTTATATCAAACTGAAAGTTTCCTGACTGCGTGCATTTCTTGGTGCATGAGCCAGACAATCCGTGATCGAAACAATAGCCGTCGTGTACGAACTCACGAAAGGAACTCAGGAGAAACTGTTCGCCGACTGGGCACAATAATACAAAGCATTTTTTGTGCCCAATCAGGAGCCGGCATCCGCTTGATTATTTGGAAATAGCTCGGTGAGAGTCAGTACCCAGGGGCTTTTTTGCCCTTACTTGAAAACTTTCGTCCCGCCTTCCCAAGAATGGGAAAACAAAACATACACTCGCAACACAGGTCTATTTCACTGCCTGAAAAGGCAATTGTAATCGAAAATGTGAAGTTAAAAACACTCGCTTGCACTCTGCTGATGAAAATTCATAGAGAGCACCACGTTAACGATATTGTTTGTACATATTTTATTGCAGTGTCGTATTCGTGGAAATTCAGAGTGGGCTCCTCCGAGGGCACAAATTATATTTCATGCCCATAAGCCTCCCAGGTGTGTATGCATGTTCTTCTGTACAATCGCTGAAAATCAGTACATGTAACTGTACTATTCTTTTGTTAGTCTCTTACTTGTGTTTGTATCTTGTTCTGTCCAAACCCTAAATATAACCCCACTTGGTTTATTTTATACTCTTAAGCCTCCCAGATGTGTGCATCCTCTACTGTCCTAGCCCTGAATATCACCCCATTTATCTGTTTTACATTTTCTTTTAAGCTTCCCAGGTGTGTATTTCCTCTGTGTATTGTGAAACCCTGAACATCACTCTGTAATCATGGTGCAGCCCCGTATCCATAAACTTATCACTTCATGTCAGATATCAAAGGCAATGTTGGATCCTTTTTCACAACCCATTTTCTGCTTTCATGCAGTAAAGGTATAACCTGCATGTAACTATATTGCTAACATTCTTTTTAAGTTCACATGTCGTTCGGTATCTCAAAATGAAGATAACGTGTTGATAAAAAATATATTATTGGTGTTCAGAAGGAAAACAGTGATGGCCCAACAGAACTTCAGGTGTGCAGGTTGTGGTATGGCTGTTGCTCCAGGTAAACATATTTTTTTCTTCTTTTTTGTACATTTTGTTTTTAATGTAGTCGCCCTGACTACATTAGCCATTGCCACAGTTTATATTTATCTAGAATACTGGTAAAAAAAATTGTAGTTTGGGTGAGGCCTTTAACTGCCATAAATTTGAAATTAAAAGTTTTACCCTTTAGCCCTGAGTGGTTAATTCATTTACTTGTGATCTTACCAGATGAGACGTGGAGTATCGGTACATATTAACATCTTTTGATGTCAGCCTTCTTGCAAACCAAATGGTTCTATTTTGTGAAATTAAAATATTGCAGGCTTCGGCAGAAATTGCGGGATATGACGTGATCGGGGTAGTTATACCCTTAAAGGACCAGGAATCCGCAAACCTTGTTAAGACTCAGTTGAAAGACCGAAGTCTAAAGTTCCATAATACAGTCCAACCCGTATTTGTGAGTAAGAAAATTGGCCAGGACCTCCACGAATGTGAGACGAAACCACAACTGGTTAATCAACAGTGCGTAGTCCACCAGTTTCAATGTAACCTGTGCGATACAGGTAGCTTTGTTGGTTATACTCGTGGGCATGTTCTTACACGTGTGGATGGTTACAAAAGTAAATCATCTTCTTTGCGCAAACAATGTGATAAAGACCACACGGGCACCGCCCCTGAGGACCTCCGCAGCTGCTTTAGGCCTGGGACAAACATCGAATCTTAGTCGAACTTAATTCGTCGAACCTATTAATTTTGAAATGGGCGCATGAATAGGGCAACGTTTGCCACAATTAAGTTCGACTCAAATTAATTGGTTCCACTCCAGCATAAGTTCGACTTCCCAAGTCGGATACTTAGACAGTAGGTTGGCGTTTCAGCAAACGTTCTAAACACGCGCTAAACTCAATTCATAAATCATTCAAATTTGATGGACTGTGCAAACGTCACAAAAATACCGACTCCCACATCTGCCAAACGTGATTGTCCCCCTCCATGACGAGCATGCGCTGTACAAAGACCGTTTCGCGACCGGGAAAGGCGAGCTATCAAAAGTCATTGCTGATATCGCACAGCGTGATGGAAATGTGTTTTTCGTATTTCATGAACACTAAATGTAAATGCTTGAGATGCGAATTGCCTATTTACAATGAATGTTCAGTGTTTGAAGAAAACGAGCTGTCGTCTCTGATACACTGTTCTCAGAGCTGAATGTAATGCTAGATTTCTCGTACTATTTTTCGCAATTAATTGCCAAAGAAAGGCCCGGCAATTTGCTAGCAAGTCCTAGCAGTACGTAGCTGCGCATCGAGTGAATAGCACAGGGACACTTGCTTATTCCTATGTTTTAATGAAGTGCAACTTGTAAAAAAGGATCAACTTAGGTTCAACGTTTGTTACCACGCGGGAATTTAGTAGACTCTTTGTCGAACCTATTGAGTGTTTTCACATGACGTCATGGCAGCCATGTTTGTGTCCCAAAAAAATGAAACGGTGGCCATGTTTTTGTCCCAAACCAGTCCTGTGGGAGTTGAACTCTTTTCTTATGTAAACGCTTTCTTTTGTTCCAATAAATTTGCATAGATGCTGCCCACGTGAGTGAAAACACAGATTTTTTAATTTATTCGACATGACTCGACGTTTGCCCCAGACCTTAGAGTGCTGAAAAAATGCAGGAACAAATTTGATTGTCTCATTAAGGAAATACTTTACATCAAACAAGTACGACCGCCTTTGAACGTGCAAACAGATTCAATCCTTGTTAAAGTCTTTAGAGTTTTAAAATCGCATTTATTTCCACTCCTTGATAATGACGTCATGATGTTGCCGATACGTCGGAACATTATTTTTTAAAATATAAATGAAGGGAAAAGTGTGGAAACCCATTTGTGAAATAAATAGGAGTGACTTACTCAAAAGGACTTACTGTACACTTTACAGAGCTAAAACGAGAATAGCTGCGTTTCATCATTGGTTAAAAATTTGCGCGGGAAGCCAAAGAATTTTTAAGCGGCGATAAAGCATTGGTTAAACATACTGAGTATTAAAGAGTTTCTGAACGTTTCGTCAAGCATGCTTTCCTTCAGATAAATTTTCAGGCAAAAAATCATTCTTAGTGAAGGTTATTTGTATGTTAATTTTCTTTCTCTTCTTATGCAGATTACATAAAGCGGTTTCGATATTGCCACTACTTAGGAAAATACTTCTGCAGCAGTTGTCACAACAACTATTTAGAAGTAATTCCAGCTAAAATAGTCAGGAAGTGGGATTTTACCAAGTATCCTTTACCTTTGTCAAATGCTGTAACCTGTTTAATGCTACTCTTATATTCTTTTCTGTTACAACAGACTATTTTTAAATGCATTTAGTTTGATTATGGTTTGACCTGAGGCAACCTAAGGCCCTTAAAGCGACTTTTTTTAAATATCTGAAGCCCGCTCAACGTTGCCTTGAACCATCTAATACCTTAACAGTGTTTTAGACTAGACCGGTATTTTTATGAATAGATTTCAAGGTTGGACCTGTGTGTTCTCTCTTGCAGAAAGCAAAGTACCAGAGTAGAATTTCTATCTATTTTTTTATTGTTGCCCTCTTTTGTTGTTGTTAGATATTTTCCCCTAACATTTCATCAGGTATGAAGTTTCAAATTTTGCAAGAGAATTGCTTCAAAAAATACACTATGATCCACTGTTTGACATCCAAGATCTGAATCCATCTTTATATAAACGGTTTCGTGTCCTGGAGGGATTAAAGGTATCCATCATCCTATTGTTACTGAAAGAAATAATACTCCTTATTCTAAACTCGTGTTAATAATGCTTTTCTTTTAGCTCTCTGGGAAGAATGTTTGCGTTATAACGAGGGCTTGAGAGCCCCATTAACCTAAAGATAAGGAATGAATAAATTTGCCACCATTTTGGAATAAGGTATATGGCTTACCGGCAGGAATCAAAGAGGTTAAAATGTTAATTATTAGTGCCAAGTATTATCACCTGGTGGGAGGAAAAGTAAAATAAAAATCAATTTCGAACAGCTCTTTACACCACTTATTTGTGATAACGTTTTTTTATTTTGCTCGCCCCATTAACCTTAAAAGGAAAGGAAGGAATAGGTTTATCTAACAAAGCAAATTCACAGCAAATTTGAAAGGATGGTAGAGAACAAGATTGAGGTATAAACTCACCGTAACCAATGAATAAGGAAGTCTGGGTGGAGAGCTTGGGACATGCGTTTTCTTTTTTTCAATATTATTATTACTTCGGCGGAGCGCGAAGTAAAGGATTCGCGACGCTCAGGAATGTATCAAAGTTGCCATTTTTTGACACTATTGGGCACCCAAAGTCTGTAGGTTTTCGGTTTTAATCGGCTATTTGACGAAGTGAGAGCCGAATTAGTTCGAGATATCTCGAGATCACTTCGATTTCTTCGATTTATTCTTTAACTTTTTCGAGGAAGGAAGAATTATTATTTTGGCTTTCCCGGGGTTTGAACCGACTCACCTGTGTGACCCGTCAGATCAAAGGAGACTCTAAGTTGAGAGATTAGCCGATTGCGCTACTGCGACCCAGGGTAATTCGGGATATGAAAAACAGTTATGAAATGATGCACTAGTTTCGGGACAAGATTGTGCGTGCAAGTTCGTGACTTTTCGGCTTGTTTCGGCTATTTCACGAAATGAGACCGGACTACTTCGTGATATCTTGAGATCACTTCGAGTTTAGTCTTTAATTTACTCGAGGAATAAATAGAGGATATTACGTGGCCGCGCAGAGACACGAAATTTCTCTTCGAGTGTTGAAAAACATTTCACGAGTGAGCCCTCCTTTCGAACTGCTGCACAAAGACATTTTGTCTTTGTTGAGTGTAAAATTGCTTTCATGCTTGCGTGACTTTCTCGAACGTTCTACATTTCACATTTACATTTCAGCATGAGTCAGCAGATTTGCATCAGTTTCTGAAATCATAACTATGTCGAAAAGCTACGACTATTCGCCTGTTTAGTATTTTCTTGAACCTTATGTCAAACGGTATACAAGTTCCAAGCGAGTTCTTTTGACGAACTAAGTTTTTTCCCACGCGCTGGACTGCTGTGTTTAGTCAAGTGAGACGAAGGTCGATTTTCACGTTCTGTGTTCACAAGTCGGCGGAAGCCGTAAGATACCTGAAGTTCGAGTGAGAGTTTGTTATTATTGGCAGAGGCTATGTGGTTTTACTTAAGCGCAAGTCAAGTTTGTGTTGGCGGTTGCTGTGTTTTAAAGCTCTGTAAAGGCTATGTTCCTTTGGTATTAACCTTCCTTGTGTTAATCCGACATCCCTGCGTGCTGATAGTCAGTGAATAATTATCCTCAAAACATTCGAACTCGTAACATTGAGTTTTAGCCAATTCCATGCTCAATGTAATTGACTCCTTACCCATGCCTTACATATCTTTAATCAGTACATGAGACTGCTATGCTGTTTTTGAAGCCTGATGTGACTAAGACTGTGTGACTGTTTGTTTTGTTAGACTTGTTATTCACCGCCAGTAACCTCGTATTTGACTTAGGTCTAAACGTGGAGACCCAAGTCAAATTTAGAAGGATTTGTATGGAGTCTTCAGAGCATAACTGGGCTAGTATCTCAGAAATCTCTTGTCCCGAAATGCTAGTTTTTGGCAAATAGGCCTCTTGGATGTTGCTCTTCTCAGAATATCCTGAAAAATTCCATAATTTCACAAATTAACACCTTACTCTTACCATATTTCATTTCTTACTATTCCTCCGCATTTATAATTAGATCAGTTCCACAACCACGCCGCCGAAGTGTACGCTCCGTAGCGTCTTGTTAACTATTGCAAAGTAGGTGTGTAGCATGCGTGTAACCCCTTTAGTCACAGTCTTGACAGATAAAATTGTGACAGAGTCATGAACGTGGAAGCGGAACTATATAATAAACAAGACTACAGTCGAAACTCTCCATGCGATCACTCTCTTGCTTTAAATAACTACCGTGATTTGGGGGAGGGAGAACACGTTATTAACTAAGCTTATATTGATCTGTAGACTTTGCAGTCAATTGTATCTTATCAAAGGCTCGTCCTGCAATAAGCTGAAATCAAGCCACTTGGTAAATAGATTTTCGATGGGCAAGGCAAATTGAAAAGTCTAGCTTGCATCTAGCTAGTACAGAAAGTCAAGAACCAAGAACGAGAAGTCCAAAGACTACTGCAAAGCTGATTTAAGACAACGTGTATTGTTTTTTATAACAATATTTCGGCTAGCCATACCAGCCTTCTTCAGGTTTACAGATGTTACTGAACTTATGTAGCAATCACAATCTTATATAAGTGGAGAATGTCGCAATAAAAATTGTTTAAAAGGGAGAGGCGGAAATGACGTACGACACAAAAACTGGAAAGGAAAAATACTGAAGAGATGGATTACAATAATTCGTCACGGCGGTTTAGGCCATGAGGTTCAATGGTCATGGCCTTATCTATCAAATGCGACTCCCTGGCTTTACGAACTGAGTCACGTGAAGAGTGAATTTTCTCTAGTGGGATTAACTGCATGCCAGTATGAGAATGGTTAGAGTGAGAGAGAAAGTGTGCAGAAACAGTAGTGGGTTTTAATTTAATGTTAGTTTTGTCGACCGCACGTCTGTGTTCGTTAAATCTGTTCTTGAGACGTCGCTTAGTTTCACCTATATATTGTAAATTACAACGGTTACATTGAACCATGTAGATCACGTTTTTAGTGTTACAAGTAATGTGTGAAGTGATTGAGCGTGTTTCACCTGAAGCGTAAAAGGTATTACTTGTGAGGCCGTTAGTAATATATGGACAAGTGGCACAATTTTGTCCACAGCGGAAGGAGCCTGGTGGAAAATGATTGTTGGAGATAACGGGTAATTGTGCTTTAACTAAAATGTCACGAAGATTAGGGCTACGTATCTAAGCAACAAAAGGCGGTTGCTTATTAAAGACGTCTTTGCATCGGTTAGAAGAGTGTAAGGTGTTAAAATGTTTGCGTAGGATATTAGAAATGCGTGGAAGTGCTGGGTTATATGTGGCAACAAATGGTACAACATGGTCAGAAGCTTTAGGTTTAGTCTGTAACGCGTTAATACGTGAAATATTAGCAACGCGTAGGAACTCTTCTTCTAGGAAATTATAATTATAACCACGAGCAAGGAGATATGTTTTAAGTTCATTGATGCGATGTTTAAACTTAGCCTCTGTAGAGCAGGTACGGCGGAGGCGGAGGGCTAAGCTGAACGGAATGGCTTTCTTAGTGTGGTGAGGATAGCATGATGAGCTGAGAAGGTGCTGATGTTTATCCGTGGGTTTAGTAAATAGATCAGTTTCAATTATACCGTTATGTAGAGACACCATGACGTCGAGAAGGGGAACGTTAGTAAGTGAGTGAGAGCTAGTGAACTTAATAGTGGGACGAATGTTATTGAGATAATCGACGAATATTTTCAAACGATCCGAACCTTCTGTCCAGATCATGAAAATACCCTCGATATATCTCCACCATGTGTGAGGCTGCCAAGGGGCGTTAGTGAGAGCGTTGGTTTCGAACATACCAAGAAAAAGGTTAGCAAAAGAAGGAGCCATTTTAGTACCCATGGCAGTACCATGGATTTGAAGATAATGCTGTTGGTTAAATGTGAAATTATTCATGGTGAGAATCATGCGTAAGAGGTCACATAGTGTCTCTGTGGGGATGTGTTTGTTAGGGCGGGTATCAAGAAAATGACGGCATGCATCAATTCCTTGATTGTGTGGAATGTTGGTGTAAAGCGATGACACATCAAGAGTTACAAGAATAGCGTTGTTAGGTAGGTTACCGAGGTTCGAAAGTTTATTAAGGAAGTCAGTAGTGTCCTTAATGTGTGAATCCATGATAGAGACGAGAGGGTTAATGTGGTATTAAACAAATTGTGAGATGCGTTCAGTAGGGTGGCTGTTAGATGAAACTATGGGGCGTCCAGGATTTCCCGTTTTATGTATTTTAGGTAGTATGTAAAAACGTCCTGGTTTCACGTTTGTTTGTACTAGGTACTTTTTAGTCTTTTCGTCAGTGTAACCGTCGTTAAACATACGTTCAATGTCAACCGTAACACGCTGTTGAATAGTGTCAGTAATGTCCCCGTGTTGTTGTCTGTAGAATTTAGTGTCATTTAACGGTCGGTTGTATTCGTCTATGTACCACGATTTGTCCATAACAACCGTTCCCAAGCCTTTGTCAGCTGGTTTGATTATTATTTCTCGTCGTTTCTTGAGGTTGCGTAATGTTTGTCGTTCATCTTTGGTCAAGTTGTCAGTGATGTGATTACGGTTAACTGTAAGGATGTCATGTTTAATGGCGTCTACGTACGTGTTAAGTGCAGGGTCTCGATCAGTAGGAGGCGTCCATGAGCTTTTGTTATGAAATGGATTGTGTTCGTTAGGTTTAGTGCTGTTATTGTGATCATGAAAATATTCTTTTAAACGCATGCGTCGCGTGAAATCGTTAATATCAGCTGATAATTCTGCCAAATTAATACGTTTAGGTGTGGTCCTCGCTCGCGGCTTAACCTTTTGCCCCTCATTTCCACCTCTCCCTTGTAAACAATTTTTATTGCGACATTCTCCATTTATATAATATTGTGATTGCTACATAAGTTCAGTAACATCTGTAAACCTGAAGAAGGCTGGTGTGGCCAGCCGAAATATTGTTGTAAAAAACTGATTAGATCTCTTTTCTAGAGATCCAACGTTTACAACTAGCAGGATCTTTGTCCACGGTTTTTGCAGTTAATTTAATCCTTTATTACAGAAAGTTACGCGTTTTTATGAATCGAACATTGTTCTGTTTACTTCGAAACTTTACATTCACTTGATTTTTGCGGGAACGTGAGATGAACCTTAAAATCAAGAATGTGGCCAGATTTTTCTAAAAACCGGTATAAGTTTACAACAACACCAAAAGCTTTATTTGCATGACCATAAAGGAATTACAGTATTGCAAAAGCTATTAGTCTAAATTTAAGTACTAATTCAACTAATTAGTGCGTGCAAAACATTACAAAATGTTGCAGTTCTCATTCATTCATTCATTGATATTAATTTGGTTCTTAATTCAAAGCATTGCGAGATAAATGAAACTAATTGACAGTTAATTAAATAATCAGAAGAATTCATAAGAAGAGATATTAAAGTATCGTGTGAAAGCGATTTGAAGTCAGGTATTTTAGTTTCTAGTTTGGAGAAAAATATGTCTCTGATCTGAGAATAAGCCTTACAATCTAGTAAGAAATGATTTTCATCTTCGATTTTGTTACTTGTACAAAAGTGACATATCCTTTCATGGGGAGGAATGTTTTCGTATCTACCTGTTTCAATTCTAAGTTGATGACTACTTATTCTAAATCTAACTAATGCTTTTCTCGAAGGGTTTTTTCTTGTTTAAAAGTTTAAAACTGCCGTTGACCACCCCCTGCGTCAGACTCGCTTTTACTCGCTCTCGTTAAAGGTAATCCCTAGTTTCCATGTTTCCAATCGCCCTTGGATACCCTTAGTTGCCTACACAAAGTAATTTCCTATATTGATTGAGTGCTGACTATAGTGATTAGATAGTACTGTGACCGGAATCCTTCAGGGGTTAGCTGTCTTGGCAATTTAGGGCTTTTGTTATTCAAACCTCGCTGGGAGTGCCAAATTTACAGATGGAAAGAAAAATGAAAGGATCCTGTCTGTGGTAGTAAATTGACGTCATTCTGCAAATGGCCGACACTGGTTAGGGTTAAGCATCGAAAATAATGATTTGGGTTATGCACAGACCATAAATGGAGTGAGTAATTAGCTTATTTACTTTGTACTTCCAAGTATCTGCATTTAATTTGTTGAGATGAGGCAACCAAACTGTGTTGACTATTCGGTTTTCAACCACTTTTCATTTACCATAGTGTATTTAGTTGCAATTATGAATCATGAAATATAAGTTTAATTTTTTAAGTCCTGAAAGCTTTCAGTTGACAGTACACGTGTTCTCTGTACAAACACACTAATACTCGCAGGAAATGAAAGCACTGTAGTGAGGAGGACCTTAAGTTTATGGACAATCACTTGTATCTTACCTAAGGTTCGTCTCGCACCAACCTGAGATCAAGCTCTTTATTTCTGCATTGTTTATTTATGCACTGTTTCATGTTCTCCGAAAAATTTCATTCACTTTAGAGAGTGCAAATACCTTAAGTTTATAGATTATATAGACTTTGTAATCACTTGTATCTTACCTTAGTTTCGTCTCGCACTTACCTGAGATCAAGCTCTTTATTTCTGCGTTATTTATTTATGCACTGTTTCATGTTCTCCGAAAAATTTCATTCACTTTAACATCGCAGGGACATCAAATAGATCTTGAGCTCAAAAATTTCACCCCTGACAGGATTCAATGAGTCTTTGTGGTGTTATAACGTGGAGCCCAGATTTGGTTGAAATGGGCGTGTGTGAAATTGTTTCTGTTCGTTTCTGTCAACTTCTTTGCCCTTGCTTCTCAGGTTCAAGTGCCAGTGGATTCAGAAGAGAGTGACAAAGATGGGCACTTGAGAGGAGCCCTTTTCTTTGGGGTCATCGGACAATGATTTGGAACTGAGATCTGTCTTCTGTATCTTCTGTAAGCATGTCCATATTTTCATCTTCCAGTAGTTACAATCGTCGCAGTACTTCAGCCTTGCACCATTCCCTATCACCTTCACCATTTGGACGAAACAGTATTTTGTACCCATCCACTCTGTTTTTTGTCATTTGACTTGGCATTATGCTGTCACTGATGATGCCATTTTGTGAGCAATGAACATGACCTACTCGCTGAGGTAACAAGAGACGTCGATGAGTTGGTGTCATCATTCAAGTACGTCGTACTTTAATGGTGTGTGGCGATACTCGAATAGTCCTTCAAATGGATCTTTCTGCTGCAGCCTTCTTAAGATTGCATTTTTCCGTCTGTACCGCTCTTTCTGTTACTTCATTTTATCGAAGATACTCTGGTGAGCTGGTTGTATTGCAAAATCCTCACTCTTCAGGGAATTTCTTGAATTCATGGTTTTTGCAGAACAATTATCTGGTGCTGCTCCTCTGTGGTCCGTTGTCTCTGACACCTTTCTCTTTTATTCCTGGTACAAGAGGCTGTGTTCTGGCAAAGTAGCTCTTTTTCAAAGTACTTTGAATAAAGGTTAGTTACTAGCAGTGACGTTTGGCCATCATATTCAAACAGGTCAATCCTATCTAGGTTATCCTGGAATTACATGCTGATGTAAAGTCTCCTCAGTTGTCGGTTGGTGAATGCATTGCACGTTGAACAGCAACTGAGACCAAGTGACTTGGGCAGTCGTTGAAGGCCAAACATAATTCCTGGCAAACAAAAGTGTTTGCTTTGCTCTTGTCCAAGTGTGCCTCATGAATTTCATCTAACACTTCATCTCTCGTGGTCTTGGGACTACAATTCAGTCTCATTTAAAAAACATACCTTCCTCTACACTCAGCTGGCTCGTCCCTGCAGGTAAGGTCAATAACTTGTTCTTTCTCTGAAGGCCATTCTTTCAAGACATACCTCATCAGTACTCTTAATGTCTCGTCAGTACTTGAGCTGTTCTTGAATCACCTCAGGGTGCTGCTTTCAAATCCAAATTTCTCAACAAGATTTACTCCTATTAAGACCTAAAATGACCTTCTCGTTTCCTGGGACCTAACGTACCTCAAGGTCATACTTGATGAGTTTCAGCAGCATCCTCTGTAGTCTGGGTGGTGCCTCATTCACTGGTTTGGAAAGATTGACTCGAGCGGTTTGTGATCTGTCTGGACAATAACTTTGCGCCTGTACACCTGTGTGAAACTTTTGCGCTCCCCACACAATAGTCAGCAGCTCTCTTTGAATATTAGCACACATCTTTTCAGAGGCACTTGGGCTTGCCCCCTTGCATGATCACTCCATTAGGGCCTGTGCTACTTGCATAAAACAAATGCTAACACCGGGGCACTAGTGATGACAGACTTCAGTTTTCAAAAGCCACTATTGTTTTCTCCCACACAAATGCTTCATTTCTCTGTTTAAGTTGTGAAATTAGTTATTACCCATTGGTTTTTTTATCCCTTCCAAAGAGTTTTCCCATCTCGCTTGAGTAGATTCCAGGAGTAGGGGAGTTTGCAAAAGGGCGCCTTGGAAATCAATATCGACCCAAGGAGGTATTGAATGTTAAGACCATTAAGCTTTCATCATCCACTGTTAGCTGCCAGTACCCACTGCGTGCATCAAGGGAAATGAAACTCTTAGCACCTGAAAGTCAGTTAGAAACCTCTATAGTAACCATTGGATAGTGTGGTCTCTTGCGTGCTTTGTTGAGGTCTACACCAAACAGCAAATCTCTTGGCTTATACTCCTGTCCTACTCAACTTCTTAAATACTCAAGCGAAGTCATATCTCCAGTTCTTTCAGACATTCTCAATACATCTGTCTCTCTTAGGTCCTACCCCCAAAAACTTAAAATGTTAAACATTATACCTATCTTCAAAGCTGACGACGAGACCGACACTTCTAATTATAGGCCAATTTCATTATTATCAAATTTCAATAGAATCTTCGAAAAAATTATGTACGACAGAATGAGAGACTTTATTGAAAAGCACAGCCTATTATATTCGTCTCAATATGGTTTTCGTCAAGCTCACTCAACCCAACATGCTATTCTTGATATTGTAGAAACTATACAAACCAATATGGACAAAAAACTCGTTTCAAGTGGTGTTTTTATTGACTTAAAAAAAGCCTTTGACACTGTGAATCATACTAGTTTACTTGATAAACTAAATTATTATGGCTTCCGTGGAATTGTCAATCAATGGTTTTCCTCTTATTCATCAAATCGCACACAAACTACTGAAATTGGCTCTCATATATCTAGTAAACTAAATATCAATTGCGGCGTACCCCAAGGATCTGTCGTAGGTCCACTTTTCTTCTTGCTTTATATAAATGACATCCAATATTGTTCGAGCGAACTCCAATTTTTCCTTTTTGCTAATGACACTAACGCTCTTTATGCTCATAAAGATTTAAAGACACTGGAACTAAAAGTAAATGCAGAATTACACAACTTGTATAACTGACTGACTTCAAAAAAACTTTCTCTGAATATTAAAAAGTCAAAGTATGTAATTTTTCGTTCATACCAAAAAAAACTCAACTAAGATCCCCAGGTTAATGTTTTTGACAATGAAAGCAGTAAAAAGGTTACCCTTCAACGCAAGAACTTTATTAAATATCTTGGACTGTTAGTCGATGAAAATCTATCTTGGAAGACCCATATTCACTCTTTTGCAAACAAAATAAGTAAATCAATTGGCTAATTGCGAGATTAAGACATATTTCCCCCACTTGCACCCTCCTGAATATTTATCATTCACTAATTACACCTTATCTAACTTACGGCCTTGTCTCTTGGGGCAACGCGTGTAAAACGTTCCTTGACCAAATTCGTGTCCCTCAGAAACGCGCACTGTGTTTAATATATTTTGCTGAAACAAACGACCACGCAATACCTTTTTTTGTCAATGCAAAAATTCTACCTTTGCAGTCTCCATATTATGAATCCGTTTGTAGCCTTATGTATGATGTAAATAAAAACACTGCTCCGGATAATATTTTGAAACTCTTCTCTCGAATTTCTAGTGTTCAAACTTACAACACACGTGCCTCAACCTCTGAACATTTTTATACTAAAGAATCTCGACTTTGGAATGGGATACCTCAAATTCTTAAAGAAAGACCGAAAAAAAGCTTTTAAATGATCACTAAAAGCAATGCTACTCGATATCCTTCAAACTGAAGACTCTTATATTGATGTGGATACGATTATTGTGAAAACGAAAAAGTAATTCTCTTGTCCTTTATTTTCATTTTATTTTATTTTTAAAATTTCACTTTAATATTGTCCTTGTATTCAAGTAGAATAGTATTTATTTACTGTAGAATATGTATACTTATATGACGTCTAATTTCTTTGTATTTTTCTAGTTTGTAGTAAATTATGTAGCCTGGCCTGCCTCGAATAGCCTCGCTAACTGCAGGCCAGTCCCAATGTATTTCTTTTTTTTTGTTATATTTCCAAATTTAAATAAAGTTAAAGTTTAAAGTTTCTCTAAAGTTAAAAGGTCTCTTGGGTCATTAACAATTCAAACATTCTTTGAGGCTGGCGCGCAAGGGGTGTGTTCCTCTATTTATACTGATCTAGGGTTGGTTCAGGGGGTTCAGTCGAACCCTCTCTGAAACTGGAAGAAAGGAAAAGAAGTAGAAAAAAGACTGTAAAAGTTTAAGGATAATTAAAAGTGACGTTGAAATCCAAGACCTTTCGCGGTATTCATTGAACTTGTCATCTCTCCTGGAACCTACTGGCCACTATAGTAATGAACATTTATTTCAGAAGCATGCGATTAATTTGAGTTGGTGGATGGCCAACAAGGCGAAGCAGAATTGCATATGAAAATATCATAAATGATTCAACCAGCGATCAATATATTTTTCCAACTTTCTTTGCCGTTAAAGAAAACTGAGGGAGACAAGAAGCTTCCCAATTTTGCGTGTTGCCTGTCTATAGTTCATTGCTTTCTCCCCCGAAAGGAGTTTTGTCTAGGCGCATTTCCTGCCGTGGTTATTTCACAATCAGCTGCTGATCTGTAACTCAGGTCAAGTAGTAGAGAGGGTGTCATTGGCTGTGCTGCCTTGAGGCGCTTTAAGTCTGTTTTTGTCAAGGGCGCAATAACGTATCTTTTAAGGCCATTGCAAGCCGTTGCTAGGGAGAAGTTTTTAACCTGTAGCTTAATATAGTTATTCGTATATGTGACGAATTTTAAACAGTGGTCTCTAAGTGATCGGTTGTTTCAGACTGTGACGTCATCAGAACGCGCCCATTGTCACATGACCCAATACAGAAATTCGCATTTTTGCTGAGTAACATACATTTCGGCTCAAAATTTAATCTCATTAACATCCTTATGTAGATAGCAAAAAATTTAAGCATGGATGTTTTGTTTGATTAAAGCTGAAGAAATCGGAATGAAGCGAGTGTTCACGAACCACACTTTTAGACACAACTTTCTGTTTTTTTGGAATTTTTGCTAAACGCATGCTTACCTTTCTTAAAAACTCGTGGGAACGTTGTTTAGATAATGTTCAAATGGTTATCAACTCTGGTTTTCCCACAGTAAATTGTAGGAAATGATAGAAATTCAGATTGTTTATCCACATATTTAATATACTATCTTTTCTCTGGAAACACAATACTTTTTTGCTGTTTATTGCACTTTATTAAATAACAGTTGTGTATTTAGGTATATATTTATAGAAAAACAACAAAGCAAATAAGCGAAACAAACGAAAACAAAAAAAGAAAGATCGAAAAAAGGTGCTGAGCAGGACTCGAACCAAGCACCGTCGGCTCGTTGCGACTTTACCTAAAACATATGTTTTCTATGTTTTCGTATCTCAATTTCCGCTCTTATTTTCAAGCTAACGGTCAAAACCACATCCATTTTTGGCTCATACCGGTTCTTGAGAATAGCATGGCATGATAGTTTCTCACTTTCAGATCACTTTCCAGCAAGCTGGAGTTTGTATATCCCCCATGATCTTGCGGAGTCAAAGAGCAAATGCTCATCTTCTCGTCAATCAAATCCCGACGTTAACCATCGTCCTCATCTGAAAGACTCCTTCATGTTTTAATTTTGGTAAGACCTCTAACTGTACTGTAGAAAATTTGCCACAAAGAAAACTCTGTGTCTCAGCAGCAAACAATGCACTCTTTCATAAGAATTTGATCGCACGGAACTTCAGCGCGCGTCTGCTTCTTCAGAAGGCACTCTCGAATTTGGACTAGCCTTGACCCGATGTCCGTCTACTACGAGTGAGCGAGTGACTAATTTGCATATCCTAGTCCCTGCAATAACTCATAGTCACTCGCGCGTCCCCACGAGTTAAAAAGGACTTAACTTTTTTCTGCTCGTGAAAAATGCTTTTTAGTACTATCACCGGAAGTTTCACGCAACACGCATAGCCGGCTCACCAAACTGGCTAGAATGCCTCAACGTGTTTCCCGAAAGATTCAAAAGGTGGCCCATAAAGCTCCAATAAACGTTTTTAGCTAGTGTTCTCAAAGCTCCTATAACTTTTGGACTTGAAAGAAAGTGAGTTGAACATTTTTGACAAAAACGGATGAAAACAGAACTTAGCTGTAAAAGTGGATCTTGCAGAATAGTTACCGAGATCTCTAGCGCACATTAACGCAGGAAATCATGTTTCACCCGCTTAACCACAGGTGTCCCAAGCTCGCGTTTCGAGTGTGGAATGTAAATTTGCTTTCTGACAAGAAAGTCGGTGTCGCATTGCAGGTGGCCTTTGAGACATTGTATGAGAAATAAAGTACTGAGTTTTGCAAACGCTAAATAATATCATTGTATTTTACCTTTTCTTGAGTATTTCAGTATCCTCTATTGATATCGATGAACATGTGTATTATATATATATATATATATATATAATACACATGTTCATCGATATCAATAGAGGATACTGAAATACGTAAAGAAACCTTTGCTGGTTCAAATAGTTTTGCGCTAAATTTAGTGATTGCTCAATGGTATTCATGTAACAACACACTCGTTTAAAAGATTTTCAATAGCACTGCTATTATTTTATAAGACTGCACTTCAGCTAGATGAAATATGATCAAGATTTCCCTTAGGACAAAGACAAATGTCCATAATGTTAGCTGGTGTCCGTACTAATCAGGAGTCAATTTGATAAAACTTTTACACGTGTAATTTACAAGTGTAGCTATTGTTTTAGAGTCTGAGAACAATAGCTACAATTGTAAATTACAAGTGTGAAAATTTTATTAAATTGACCCCAGGTATCTGTAAGGGGGAATTCGACCTTAATAACCTTAAAGTTATTAAAGAAAGATTCATATTATTTTGCGCGTCTCTTCCTGGGAGAGAAACCAGTGTAGAATAACTTTACCTAGCACAAAGGAGAAAGAAGCCGTTGCGGAGTTTTGGCTGTTTTAAAGTTGCTTTTCTAATGCTTGTTGTGCATTTTTGACAGGATATCCGACAGCAGCTTCATTTCTTTAAAACCTTCATGCTGACATGCCGTAAAGCCAACGAGTGAGTGATAGTATCAATGTTAACAATAATATTTTATCATTTGTATTGCAAACTAGCGCTCGAATGGTGACTCGCTCTGTGTTTGCAAATGAAATACAATCCTTATGAACAATTTCTTATTTTGGGACTGGTTATGATAAGCCATTCTAAGTATGTATGGCAAATAGACAAAATAATACTTAAATGTTTATATTAAATTGAAACACAGTTATGGTAAATAATTCCACACTTGGGCTCTGGTAAAAAGGGTGCAAATGATTTCCTTGATTGCATTGGAGGTGGCATTATGTTATCGGTTTCTTGTTTCTTGTTACGTGTATGCGCAGAAGGGTCGAACTTATATCTGGGCCAGTGATGTGGTCATGTTACAGTTGTCAATTGATAACTGGTTTTGACAGCTGTCGTTTCAGCCTTATATGGGTGCTTGCTGTAAAAGTAGCATGGTATTTGCCATGTTTATCCAAGTAAGTAGGCTATTTTACATCGGCCTACATGTAGATGATGCGCGGACTGACGGACATACGGTCATGTAACTACCAATGAAATTTCTCGCATCCATGGTGCAAGCTCCATTGAAAAAAACACACACACTTAAGCAGAGAATAACCTCTGGGTTCGTGAGAGGACAACCAGCCCAGTTTCAAAATGTCAATTTTCTTGTTCATACACCTATTCACAAATGGCAGACACGCGGGAAAAAAACTTGTGACTAGTCATGAAATCGAGGCGTTGCAGGATAAACAAAAATTGCAAAGGAAGACTTTCAGCGAACTTGCAGAGCGTTAAACACGAATTCCACCTTGTAAGAGAAGGTAACGCTTTATAGGGCGTTAATCGCTGGTTCTTGAAGGAGTAAAAGGATCTTAAGGTTCCACATCGATTAAATATCAACCACACGGAGAGAAATTTATTTCAGAACAGAAAATCGAAAACGCTAAATTCACATGATTGCAAACGTCTATTCAAGTCCTTGACACTCCCCCCCCCCCTCCCCCCCTGTTGACCAGATTATTATTTGGCTGCCTAATTCGATCTGGTCAACAAACCCTTACATACTATTGAGAAACCTAAAATCAAGGATAATTCGTGGCAAAGTTCAAATTTCATTAAGCCAGATCCTTTAGCCAGGTTTTCCTTCTTCGGTCGGCCTCAACGGCGACTGTTTGTCTTGGACAGTTCCGTGTAGACACTGGTTGCTCAGTTCTCCCTTCAGTGCTAACTGGATCAGGATTCCGGCTTGAGCTCGCTTTGGTTTTGTGTTGGACAGGAACTTCGCACTGCATCTCTAAAGGGTAAATAAAGCCGCTGCACTGGGCGCCTGAGTTTCGTGCATTTTCCTCCCTTGCTTCGGACTTGGACCAAAGCTCCCGTGGTACAACCGTCAGATCCAACGATGAGATCTAAAATCTTGGCAACACGCCATTTTCCTCTCGGCTGATCTTCTTCATGCACAACAACTACATCTCCAACAGATACAGTTTTGATAGTGTCATTCTGATTAAGGTAACGATGGGAATTTTGCAGCTTTATGAGGTACTCATTTCTCCATCTTTTCCAAAAGTGGTTCAGAACGTTACTGAGGTGCTGCATACATCTGCATAATCAGGAGTGTCGCTGGTGTTGCTGTCTGGAAGGCTCATTAGGCCTCACCCACATAAGAGATGCGACAGGGTAAGGGGTTCTTTAGTGTACTCACCTGACACGTAGGACAGAGATCTATAGTTAAGTTTCATTTCCACTTCCATGCTACTGTAAGCAATTTTTCATAGTTAAGGGTTGCACCGCCAATAGTCTTCTTCAGACATCTCTTAACAGATCTTACAAGTCTTTTGAATATGCCACCCCACTAAGGGGCCTTTTCAGATTAAACGTCCACTTCATCCGTGCATTGGCAAAGTATTGTTTCACTCCCGGGTTGTTCATCAGTTTCATGATTTCTCGCACTGCTGACTTGAAGGTTTTCCCATTATCAGACACCATCAAACAGGGGGGGTGCTTCGATGGGCAGGGAATCTTCTGAGACTTCTCAAGAATGCGGAAGCTGTAACGCTGGGTACGAGATCCAAATTAATAGCTCTGGTAACACAACAAGTTTAGAGGCAGATCCATACTTTCTGCTGAGGGCCAGAATGATTTTTGACATAGAGAGGTCCCGCAAAATCAACTACAGTGTAGGGAAATGGTGAGCATTCCTTTACTCAAAATTCTGGGAGGGGCGGGGGCGTTGTAGCTTGATATGGCCTTCCTTCAAGTTTACGGCAAATCATACACTTGTACAGTAGCTTTCTAACCAACTGTCTGCCCTGTATGATCCAAAATCTTGCTCTTAGTTCTGTCAGAGTGGACTTCACACCACCATGCATAACTCGTTTATGGCTGTCTTCGACAATTAAGGATGTGATGTAGTGGTCTTTCTCCAACAAAATGGGGTGCTTGACTGAAGTTGGTAGCTCCGCCTTGGCTAAGCGTCCAGTACATCTCATAATGCCCTGATGATCGGTGAAGATGCCAAACTGCTTCTTCCAAATATCGAACTAAGGATTCTCGCTTAAAGACTTCTGTAATCCAAAGAGTTTCTGCTACTGCAATATCTTGGTCCGTCGACTCGTCTGGTGAAAAGGTGTTCTTTTTCAGTAATAACTTCATGATTGTTAGAAACGTTAGAACAAGGACAGTAACTCTTATAAGTCTCTGCAGGTTGCTATAGTCTTCTGCTCTCATTATCTGTGCTATAACGCAGGATTCAACTGCTGCAAGCTTTACGGATGATGTTTCTCTTTGGCACTTTGCCCTTTCCTCAGCTCTGATTTCTGTAGAACATTCTTCAGGTATATGTGTGCTGTCGAAAACGCTCGCACTGGTTTCCTTAAAATTAGTTAACCACTTGGGGCCCTGCAACCACAGGGCACCCGGAGAGTTTTACAGGATTCAATCCTCTTGAGTGAATATTGGCCGGGTTATCCTTTCCGTTACAGTATCGCCAACTACTCGCTGTACCTAATGTACTCAAAATGCCGAGCGTATCAAACACTTTTGAAGATTACACATTGTTATAAAACCACCAAATAAAAAAGAAACATGATAAATTTTTTATTATGTTGAAGCATAACCCTATTAATGTTCATTCAAAGACTCCACAGCTCACAACCGGCTGGCCGTATAGGTGATTTTGGAAATTCTTTTGGCGATTTTGCTAAAAGCCCATGCGTGTTTCGATTGTCCTGAATATTGAATGAGTGCAATTTGTATTTCAGAATTGTGAAATACTGCATTGTGCCCGAGGGCTGTATGATAAAAGCAGCGCCTCATAGTACTGTTTCACCTCAGATGTGATGTATAAAAAGAATAAAAGGTTGGTTTACACGCCCCCAGATTTGTTAGCAAGATTTTGTAAAGCAAACTTGTCGAACGCACAAAATTCGGCCTGATTTGTTTTCCAAGAATTTGTTTTCCAGGCCTAATCTACTGTGACAAGAGACTATAAAGGGGAAAGAGAGGGCATCCCCCATATACACCCTATTCCATAGGTAATTCGTCTCGAGTTATTTTTAGAATCGGGATAAAGTTACCTCGCGCGAGGCGTGGATGTTTCGTGGAGGTTTCGCATGACCAAACGCCGTGCAAAACATGTCGGGCGAGAGGCAGTGAAAGCGTAAAAAGATCGAGAGCATTCCTGAATATTGAAGTGAAATGAGTCGGCGCTCACCTGGGCAAAAGAAATCGCTGGACACTTTGACAACCCGTGAAATCAGTTTAACTCGAAGTTGTCGTAACCTCAGTGCTTTAGTAAAATGAGAAATTTCGCCGGTCTATTGAAACCGGTCGTTCGTACAATTTAGGGAGTTTAAGATCCAACGACGCGGACGACAACAAGAACGTCAAAAAAACAATAGGTTTAATTAGCAAAACAACAAATTCGCACGTGCAACACACTTTTTTGTTCATTTCTTTCCCGTTTTTGCACGACTACGACGTGAAAATGCCTAATTTCGCGTTTTATGGAGGACGTAAATAAGCAACAACGAAATTTTATTTCTCTTTCTGAGCTTGAATATGGTCCCTTGAAATTCAGCTTTAGGAGGGTTCACCTACAATTGACAAAGTAAGTGGGTAGGAATAATCGCTATACAGACTGAAAAAAATAAACATCAAACCAGAAATTGCTATCTTCAAACTGTAAATTATAAATGATCCTGAGAGAATATTCAGTGTGTTAGGGATTTCCCTGCTCTAGTGTTAGCTCTATACAAGAGAGGAAGGGCGATTCTTTTTTAATTTCGGTTTCGCTGACACAGCTTTCGCAGAAATCTCGCTGTAGTCGTTTTCGTCGACAAAAGGAATAGCAAAATCGTTCTCCGCGTCTTCCCCCATTTTGTTCTGCGTCATTTCGTGAAGGACGCGTGGCTCTCAGCGTGGGTCATCCACGCGGAACACATTCGTGATTCGCTATGTGATTGGCTGTTGTCTAATCCCCCTTCAGATCTGTGGTGTTAAAAATAACTCGAGACGAATTACCTATGTAATAGGGTGTATGTGGGGATGCCCTCTCTGTCCCCTTTATAGTCTCTTGACTGTGATCAAGAGCAATTATGGCTCTCAAATGTGATCGAAGATGATTGCTATTTTTTGGGTGTACATATAAGGCTATCAACTCGATGTAAGATTTGGTTCACTCTTAGACTGATTGCAAATTATTTTTCTCTAAAATCACTGAGCCTTTCCCTCAAAAGGCACATGAATGTGCTCCAGAGTTAATTGATTTGTGGAATACAAGTTTATTGTTTGAGTTAAATCATAAATTTATTAACTGGAGCGTCGCTTTTAGCCCTAGCTAAATCTATATATTGATATCGAAATTGAACGTGTAAATGAAGTTTTGTTTTTGGGAGTTATACCTGATGATCACTTATCATGGAAATCTCAAATACAGAACGTAGCAAGAAAAGTCTCAAAATCAGTAGGCATTTACAAATCAAGTTTCTGCCTTAATAAGACCTCCTTATGTACTCTCTATTGTAGTTTAGTTTATCCTTATTTACATTACCGTGCGAGCGCTTGGGGCTCAATTTATCAGTCAAATCTTAAGCGTTTGATTAATCTTCAGAAACGGGTTATTAGAATAGTTTCCAGGAATTCTTTTGATGCACATGCCAATCCTGTTTTTGTAAGCTTATGAATTCTAAAATTTGAAGATATTATCAAACTCCAAATAGGTAAAGTTATGTACCTTTATAAAAATGGCTTTCTTCCTGACAGTTTCAATGACATGTTTTTGCTTAACTGTGACGTACATTCATATAACACTAGAAGTAAGAATTCCATCCGTTTGCCGTACTGCAGGACAAATGTAAGGAAATTTTCACTTCGTTTTCAAAGGCCCAAAATATTTAATTCTCTTAGCCCTGAAATTCAGAATGCCTCTAGTACTGCTTTGTTTAATTCTAAACTTAAGTCATTTTGTTTTTTGGTATAAGCACACTATAGGTCTCCTAATGCTTGTTTGTAAATTTTCGCCTCTTTCGCTTTTTTTCTCATTTATTCTTGCACTATTTTTTCTCACCTTTTCTTTCTCGTTTTTGCACTTACACGTTCAGCCTTTTCTATTTTTATCCTACTTAATGATGATTTTCTATGTTCCAAACAAATTGTGTGTACTTAGAGTTTGATTGCCGATGTCACCATTGTAATTATCAATCAGATGACATAATTTTAAAGGGTAGTCCTATACACAAGCCTTATTGGCTTCCTTGGGCTCCATTGCCTCATCTGTTTTTTTTTTTTTTTTTTAATTTAACATGTATATTTTGTGTGTTTTGGCAAAATTATAAGAAAACAATAAACAATAAATGTCACGAATGAGCGGTCTCTGGCGGTCGAATCTCAGTAAGCAGATAGAAGACCTAGTCAGACAATGGAAAACTTCCATTAAGACGAAGACCAACCATGCAGAGCCCATGACCCTTTAAACAGTTACCCGAGCATCCCTTCCAAAAAAGTAGGAGTAAGTAGTAGTAAAAAATAGTAGTAAGCTATCTTTTTGAATGGAAAGGACAAGAATTTGTCCTCGTGGTGGACTACTTCTAGCAATATTGTGAAATCGAAGTACTTCAACGTCTACCTCTCAAGAAGTGATCAATCACCTAACAGTACTTTTAGCGCGCCATGTAATTCCAGGAACCATAGTATCCAATAATGGACCACAGTATTTCTCAGCGGAATTCGCCAAATTTCCAAAAGTCTGGGGATTCACAAACATTACAAACAGTCCAAAATACCCCCAAAACAACAGAAAAGCCGAACATATGGTACAGACGACTATATACCTCCTAACAAAAGTCAACGATCCATATGAAACACTCCTCGCCTAGAGCCACTCCACTGGAAAACGGATTCAGCTCGGCCGATTTATGTATGGGAAGGAAACTACGCACCACACTATCAACTACTGGCCATCTAAACTGATATCACAATAGCCTGAATTAAACAAAAATTGCGTGGAACAGAAGCCAAGACGAGGACTAAACAAACAGAAGATTACAACTGATGACATGCAGTTAAAGAGCTGAGTAATCTGTCACCAGGCGATCATGTTTACATCCCTGATCATAAAGAGAACGCAGTGGTCATAGCCAAGACACCTGACCCTCGTTCCTATTACCTCGAAACCGACTGTAACTCAACTGTCTGAAGAAACAGACAGCCGCTCAGTCCAAATCCTAAAGAAGTAAAGTGCTTAGCAGAAAATCCTTTTACCGCTCCTCCTAAAGCTTCTAAAAAGGATCAGCCACCTGTTCAGGCAGAGAAGAAAGAAGCTTTACATCCTATTCAGAAGTCTTCCATTGCAGTTCCCATAACCACTACTCGTTCGCAAAAAAAATTAACCCTCTTAAGAGATTAGGTTTTGATAAAGACTGGAAGAACGGTTGATATTAGTGATTTGCCACAATGCCCAGAAAAATGGTAATATCCTATTTGTTCGTCAGGGTTGTCAGTTGAGTAGTTGATAAGAAGCAGCGCACCAAAATCACTAGTAAAATCGTCATCACTTAGCCTCCTTAAGTTCCTAATGAATTTGTACCGTGGTTTACGAACATTCACACGCGCATTGATGCAGGCAAAAGGCGTGTTATGGTTACTCAAAATAGCGCTTAGAATTATATTAGTGACAGTGGTGCATTACAGTACACCTAGTTAGAAATTATAATTATGATGGATCAACATTGGAGACAGTTCTGTTACAAACTGCTGAAGTCCGAAAATCTCAAGTGTAGTTTTATATCGTGAGAAAAATAAGCTGAAAAGTGCCAACACCGGTGAAGTTTGTATCATAGGTGAGTACAACCATCCTTTACCAAAGTGTATGTGACATGACTCTGCAGTTCTCGAAGCTCAAGCCAATTAGATGCAGTAGCCAGTAGGTATGATGTGTTGTTGATCACTGCAGGCAGAAGAATACTGTGTTTGTTCCGCCGGGGTTGTTCTTGCCTAGTGCTCCTGGTCAGGTTGGCGATAGCGCCATATGTACCAGGCATACCTAATAGATGACATCAATGACATCAATGAAATCAATGAGTAATCAATAGGTAATCGATAGGTAATCAGTTGATTAGTCATTGATTATTGCCGATGATCAATGAGTAATCAATGACTAATCGATAGGCCACAAAATTTTTGGTCATCGATTAGTCATCGATTGCATCGATTAGTCATTGATTGCATTGTTTAGTCATTAATTTCATCCATTACTCATCGATACCATCTCGTGGCTGCAAACGTATTTGGCGAAGAAAAACAAAATTAAAAAAACTTAAATGTAAACAGGCGAAAGGCCAAAAAATCGGAACTTGTACAAATATTCAATACTCAAATTGGCTATGTAACTGCTTATGACGGATGTTTCCCTAAGCCGAAGCAGTTTTACTTTGCTGACAAACACCCACAAAAAAAATCGATAACCACGCAGTCGATTCTTGTCAGCGTACTTGTTAGTTTGATTTTCAGACTGGTTGGTTACTGTTCAGTTGTTTTGTTATTAATTAAAGAGTTGGGTAAAGTGAAATATTGCACAATTGAGAATCATCTGTATTTGTGATTAGCACTTTGCGTCTCGACATCGTCAACAGGATCTTCAGATACAAGGAAAAATGCGTCTAACACAGATAAAAGAATCACAAACGAAAAAAATGTTACAAAGAAAAGTGTCTTTCGTGCGCAATATAATAGTCGATGAGTAATCGATGGGTCATCGATGAGTAATCAATTACATCAGTGAGAAATCGATGGGCCACAATTTTTGGGCTTCGATTACTCATCGATTACTCATTGATCATCGCCAATAATCAATGACTAATCAACTGATTACTCATTGATTACCAATTGATGTCATTGATTATCGATTAGTTATGTCTGGTATGTAAGATACATCATAGAGCTTAAGCACTGAGCAGACGTTCTTAATGTGAAATTTACTACATATGAAAATTAGCAATTGCTGTTAATCGTCCTCAGTGTCACGAAGGATGACAGTATCGTAATCCTGGGTCATGCATCAGACCACCGAATCAGTCACTGGCATATTTCGTGTCCCAACGCTCTAAAACTTACAAAAAAACTTTTTGCTTGGTTATGAAATAATTTTTAATCAAATTTTTCGGCATCTTAAGTAAAATAATAATGATGGAACTTTAAGAAAATGTTATTTATTTTGTTGTAAATATGAAACATTCGAGATATCGGCATTTGAAACTGCATTTTTACAAAAAAATGTAAATACTTTCGAAACCCTTCGACAGATTTTTCTAAACTTCAGCAAGTAAGCCTCAAAACTCTCTAGTTTTATATCAGCGAGTTTAAAGTAAATCGTGACCATACAACTCGTCGCACAAAATGCGGGTGAATTTTAACCTTAAATTGCCACGCTAACACATTTGTGAAAGTTGACACACAAATGGAGGAAGAGTGCCGACGGACTATATCCTAACTTCAAACCTTTGGTTGTTCCCATCACCCCACTTACTTATTATTTTTTGTTTAAGGATCCAGGCAGGGTATTCTTCAGTTAGTACAAACTTGAGAATCTAAAACCTTTATTCAACGGTCATTTAGCCGCAATAAAAAGCTTAACGCATCAAAAGAGGTCAAAGAATTCCCTAACCTTCTTATGAGATCAAAATTCTGTCAAAAACCACCGGAAATCAATGCGCGGGAAACACATCGACCTCATGACCTCTCAATCGTCAAAAAGAACATTTGCTCAGTCAAAACGAAGAATCCTCCACAGTATAGTCCATCCGTTGTTCTAAGGTACCAGCTCTTAATGATCAAGCGCTCTTTTGATGTTGTGCTCTGATGGATCAGGGAGTTTGCACTGCGTGACAAAAGGTAATATTGTCTGATGGGCTTTTGTTGTAGAGCCAATTTCCTGTCATAAAACGAGATTAGTTTTAGCCCTTTCCGAGTTAAGGATAGCAGAAGACGTGTCTTAAATTTTGAGATCTATTTTCCTCCAAAAAAATCTTTCGAGGAGTTTGTTCAACCTCTAATCTTATGGTGGAGTGGTGCTTGCTTTTAGCTCATTTCCACGTTAACGCACTAACTTTCCCTTGGGAGAGACGAGAGATTAGCATTAGCATTTGACTGACGTGTTATTGCCTCTCAGCCAATCAGAAACTCCCGTACTCCTTGTTGTCGGACTATTCAAAGTACCCAAGAATTAGGGCAGGCGGGATTTCAGTTTGACTTGCTCCCAATTTTCAAGCGGCTCCACCCCCCAAAAACTACAGCATTCGCCCGCTAATCCCGCCAGCTTCGCAGGCTAATAATTATAAACCCTCCCTGTTGTCAGGCCTTCTTGACTTAAATAATTTTTACTTCATCATGCTCCACACCTATTCTGGCATATGTTCATACCAGTTTTCCTTCCTTTCAAGCTGGTATATCTCAGATAATTTCCAATGTACAATCTTTACCACATTATCATGCCGTTTTTTTTATATATTCCCTCTGGCCGACTTTTTACCCTCACTTACAAGGTGAGACACACTCTGTCCCTTATTATTATTACTTTTATTATTAATTTCAAAATAATGATTGAGAGAAATATAAAACATGTTTAAACTAATGAAGCTAGCTGTGGTTTCGTCTCACATTCTTGTAGGTCCTGACAAATTTTCCTACTAGCAAATACGGGTAACTGTGGTTTGGAGCTTAAGACTTAGGTTTTTAACAAAGTGTGCCGAATTCTGGTCCTTAAAGGGTATGACTACCCAGGTCACGTCATTTCCCGCCATTTCTTCCGAAATCTGCCATAGCTGCAGGTCAGCAACCCTAGAGTTAACATAGGTGTTATTGGTGGAGTTGATAAGGTGTTTAGGGTACTTCAGACGTAAGAACAGATACATATTACTCCGAACTAGAAGCCCATGATGAGGACAAACGTAACGCTCGATCAAGCATTGTTGTTTATAAGCTTCATTTGTAACGGTCGTCAACATGACTGGTGGTGGAGAAGTAGACCAGTGTTAGTAGGCTTCGCGTACACCTTCTCAATTTGGGGCACCTGGTTTAGGAACTAGGTGCCAAGAACGGGGTCAGTTTGCTGTCCTTTCAAAACCACATTTTTCGCTGAGATCCCAGTGGATAACCTGGGGGACCTTATCGTGTCCCCATTTACTTGTATTGTTTCTGAGCGAGCACCTCTTGTGCGAGGAGTCAGCTCCCAGAGGTTACGCTGTTGCGGAATGGTTGGCTCGGTAAAAGTGTTAACTTTAAAGCAGTCTTCTTTGCCATACGCACTGTTTGAAGCTTGTGGAGCTGTATTTATCATGAATTCAAATGTACATTTGAGAACAAATGGCTTTAATGATAATTTCGGAGTCATGCTGTATTATTTCAGTGTTAATCATAACTATAACAAAATTCTCAAATCTGATTGGTTCTCAACTGCCCTGATTTCAGCCTTAATAGGACAGTACGCGTCATGCCTAAGTAATTGGGCAGTACGCGCTATCACGCGCGCGCTTAAATGGCTTTTTTTTCCTTGCTAGCGAAAAAATCTTGGAATTTCTAGTGTTTTGATTTAAAAAGAGCCCTATAGATCACAAATTTTGTTAAAGTTATGATTAATTGGTAACAGAACTTCGTGTCGTCCAATTCGGTCTGTAATCATACTCGTGATTAAACAAATCGGACTCCCGCTATGCGGTCGTCCGATTTTGTTAATCACTCGTATGATTACAGACCGAATTGGACTCCACTCAGTCCTGTTACCATTACTAATCCGAACGATGTATGAAGCTGGGCTGAAACCGAGCAGTATTTGATGTGGTCCATCGGTCACATCGATCGGCGGGGAAAGAACCAATTCACTGTGGGCTTTCCTCAGGGACTTGTCAGAAATTAGCGGCGGGGGAGGGGAGGGGGTCAGAATTTTAAATTTGGGTTCGGAAATGAGGTGACCCATCCCTGCAACGGGAGTGAAATTTTCTTACCCTTCCCTTGACCTTGGCCTAAAATATCATGACCCTCCCCCTCTTGTATAAATGATAAAATCTAGTTCTTGCAATACGCTAGGGTGAGTCAGTATTATGAAAGCTCAAAATATATTTCTAATCTGTTCTTTGTAATGCCATATACATACATCTTAGATGACAGCATTAAGCTGAGTCCAACTCTGATTCTGACAGCTAAACACTCGACTCTCCTATTTCTACCAGGTGTTTTTTTACAAAGTAAAGACATTCTTTTTTCTTCTGTGGGTGAACCTCTACATGATCACGGACACATATTTGCATGACTCTTCCCCTTTTAACGGCCCATTTTTCATGACCCCTCCCTTTTCTGCCGTCTCAAAAAGTTGTGACCCTCCCTCTGTTTCCACCCCCTCCCCTCCCCCACTGCTAATTTCTGACAAGTCCCTCAGTGTAATACGAATTCAAAGGTGTAGATTTCAGGGAAAAGCAAGGTTTTGACGGTAAAAAGTCGAACTGAGACGCACTTCCGGAAAACAAACAAATCTCACGACCTATTAAGCCGTATTAAAATCGTCTGCGAAGTGAGACGCACCGACAATTATTTTTTATCTTGATTTTCGCTCCTATTTCTTTAAAGCTACTGGTCTTCATTGTTGTCTGCAAAATACTTTGCCGTCGAGTTTGCTGGTTGTTATGATCCACGTGTGACAAAATTGTAAATTTGGCTTTTGCGAGGAACAAATTGAGAAAATGGTTTCATGACGTTTGTGCTTTTTAAAGAGAGGAACGTAAAAAAAGAAAAAGTATTTTTGTTAAACAAATTAAACCATATTTAAACTAGAAATACGTGTATTGCAGAATCTCGCAAATCTCAGGAGGAGGCCCATCAATTCGTACCAAAAAAAGTTGAAGAACAACTTATTCAACTCTTTCACTGAACTGTTTCGACAGTCGGGGTAGTACTTTAAGTCATAAATATATAGATTTAGCCAGGGCTAAAAGCGAGGCTCCCATTAATAAATTTACAATTTGAATCAAACAATAAACTTGTATTCCACAATTCACTTAACTTTAAGAGCACATTCGTGTGACTTTTCAGGGAAAGGCTAAGTGATTTTACAAAAAATAATTTGCAAACAGCCCAAGAGTGAACCAAATCTCACATCGAGTTGATAGCCTCATAAGTACACCCAAAAACTGGAAATCATCTTCAATCACATTTATTAAGAACCATAATGGTTCTTGATCACCGTAGATTAATTAGGCCTGGAAAAAAAATTCCGGCCGAATTTTTTGCGTTCGACAAGTTTATTTTACAAAATCTTGCCAACAAATCTGGGTGCGTGTAAACCAACCTTTTATATCATTTATACATCACATCTGAGGTGAAACAGTACTATGAGGCACTGTTTTTATCATACAGACCTCGGACAACAGAATGCAGTATTTCACAATATTGCGATACAAATTGTTATTCAGGACGATCGAAGCACGCGTGGGCTTTAGCCGTAAACCGTTGAAAAAATTTTCAAAATCATCTATACGGCCAGCCGGTTCTGACTTTTACAGTGCTAGCAGTGGCGAGTGTTTGAATGAACATTAACAGAGTTACGCTTCAACATAATAAAGAATTTATTATGTTTATTTTTTATTTTAAAACGGTTTAACGCGCGGCATTTTGAATACTCCGGGCAGCGTTGTTTACTGAACGACTGAAAACAATCGGCACAACCAGGAGCACAACGATTAAAATTACAAGAGAGAGTACTAATAATCAATAAAAGAATTATAATTCGGTGAAACATATACAGAGACGACAATTTTCATTCAGGAAGACAAGTATTAAAGTGTCTCTAAAAATCCTAAGTCTTCGAGCTTAAAGCTGAAGTTTATGTTTTAAGCCGGCTTCCCGGTGTTTGCTTTTTTCAAAGATGAACTCGAGGCAAGAAAATCGCTCAAACCTTTCTTTTACGGCCAGAATTATAACTAAATATTCTTTGAAACGTTTTCTTTCTATTTGCGTTGAGAAAATGTCTAAAGGCTTTTTAAAGATCTGTAAGCTTATAACAAACCTGATACTCGGTCAGATCATTGTCTCAAACCTTACAAACGTGCGTAAACAAAATAGCCGCATAAACTACGCTCGACTTCATTAAATTAGGAATAAAAAACAAACATCAAATACAATAATTACTCAGGCTTACCACTCGAGATGCAGCTCCTGAAAGGTATCAAGTAAGGCCAGTATCGCTTCAGACTTTGCAACCCTCTTACTCATTAGGCAAGATGAAAACGAAAACGATGCCATCCGAAATCGGATTTCCGACTTTGACTCAATCAAAAACCAAGAGACTATAAAGGGGACAGAGAGGGCATCACCCATATACACCCTATTCCATAGGTAATTCGTCTCGAGTTATTTTTAACACCACAGATCTCAAGGGGGATTAGAAAACAGCCAATCACATAGCGCGAATGTGTTCCGCGTGGATGACCCACGCTGAGAGCCACGCGTCCTTCACGAAATGACGCAGAACAAAATGGGGGAAGACGCGGAGAACGACTTTGCTATTCCTTTTGTCGACGAAAACGACTACAGCGAGATTTCTGCGAAAGCTGTGTCAGCGAAACCGAAATTAAAAAGGAATCGCCCTTCCTCCCTTGTATAGAGCTAACAGTAGAGCAGGGAAATCCTTAACAAACTGAATATTCTCTCAGGATCATTTATAATTTACAGTTTGAAGAGAGCAATTTCTGGTTTGATGTTTATTTTTTTCAGTCTTTGTAGCGATTATTCCTACTCACTTACTTTGTCAATTATAGGCGAACCCTCCTAAAGCTGAATTTCAAGGGACCATATTCAAGCTCAGAAAGAGAAATAAAATTTCGTCGTTGCTTATTTACGTCCTCCATAAAAAGCGAAATTAGGCATTTTCACGTCGTAGTCGTGCAAAAACGGGAAAGAAATGAACAAAAAAGTGTGTTGGACGTGCGAATTTGTTGTTTTGCTAATTAAACCTATTGTTTTTTTTACGTTCTAGTTGTCGTCCGCGTCGTTGGATCTTAAACTCCCTAAATTGTACAAACGACCGGTTTCAATAGACCGGCGAAATTTCTCATTTTATTAAAGCACTGAGGTTACGACAACTTCGAGTTAAACTGATTTCACGGGTTGTCAAAGAGTCCAGCGATTCCTTTTTCCCCGGTGAGCGCCGACTCAGTTCGCTTCAATATTCAGGAATGCTCTCGATCTTTTTACGCTTTCATTGCCTCTCGCCCGACATGTTTTGCACGGCGTTTGGTCATGCGAAACCTCCACGAAACATCCACGCCACGCGCGAGGTAACTTTATCCCGATTCTAAAAATAACTCGAGACGAATTACCTATGGAATAGGGTGTATATGGGGAATGCCCTCTCTGTCCCCTTTAAAGTCTCTTGTCAAAAACCCAATAAACAAACTAGCCATGAATAACAGAAGACTCCTGATAGCAGCTGAATTTCATTTTGTACATCCAGTGGAAAAAGAAAGTTAAAAACATCACAAGTTGACACAAAACTCTGTCAGATTCAAGATTCAGGGCGGAAAAACGTAATGAGCATGCGTGAACTTTTTTGCCCAGATCCCCTGGCCGGGTTTGAAAAAATGGCGGGATTTCAAATATTTTATTGCCTAAAAATAAGATGTTTCCACTCATAACCTGGAAAGAACAGGCAATTTGTCTTCAAAAGTTGCAAGCTGTGGTTATAACCTTGTCGTTACTTAATTTTCTCGAAGAATACCTCATAGTAAAACGGACTTTAACGACATCAATTTCCTAGCGTTGTACTGGAAATGTGCATGCGTCGGTCCGATTTTTTTCAAGATGCATTCACAAAATGTGTTCATATAAGGAAGTTCCTGGATATATAAGGTCCGGAGCTCCACTGTGGACACAAAAACAACATATCTTTGGACAGTGATTTGCCCAAAAAAATTAATGCTTGCCCACAATGTGTTTGAAGGCACTGAACTTGTCGCACTCGAGCTGATATTTTAAAACCCTCGCTCGATCGGACACTCGTAGTTTCGCAGATAACTAAAATATAAACAAAATCCTCAATGTAGAAGTTACTGCGTTGATATGCGGGCAGAAAAAAGGTCAATCTTTATCTAGTAAAATCTTCCCAAAAATCGGTTTTAAAGCAACTATAGTTTATTTTTAAACTTGATCGTTTCGCGTACTAAGAGATAAATATAAATTAAGGCAGGTACAAAAGTCGGACCGGGTCGGATCAACTCGGATCGACTCGGACCAACTCGGATCGAATAAAAAAATAAAAATAAAATAAAATTGGACTCGGATCAACTCGGAGCAATCAAAAAAATTAAATTAAATCATACAAAACTGAAAGTTTAACCCATTTGGAGGGTAAAAAAGGCCAGATCATCCTTATTTTCTCCGTGGCTTTCAGGCGCCATTTTGTTTTACTAGTGCCAGTTCCTCTCGGATCATGTTGTAAACTCGTGGTTGTGGTTCGACAGTAAAGAAATGATAGTTTCAGTCGCCTAGAATGTATATATTTGCTTATTTATTAGACTACTGAATTATTTAGGAGAAAGCGTCAAAAGCCTGGTCTGCTGATCGCATTTAGATAGTTACCGAAGAGTGTTTGTTTGTTTGTTGCTGTTTGTTTTTTTTTTTCTGCAGGACCTCTGAAACTTATATTTAATGATACACTAGTGAGCAGCACACATACATTTCCAGTGAACATTTTCAACTTGGAAGGAGTGAGAAACCATGCTCGCCCTGGACAAAGGAAATTTCCATGCCCTTGGCAAGAATCGAACTCGCGACCCTCCGGTTCAGTGGTTGGAACGTCCGATAAACATGTAGTATTCGGAGGGTCGTGAGTCCAATTTTCGCCCGGGGTACGAAAATTTTCGTTGTCCCGGGCGAGCATGATTTCTCCTCCTTCCAAGTTCAAAATGTTCACTGGAAGTGTTTGTGTGCTGCTCACTAGTGTATCGTTAAAAGTAATAAAAATAAAAATAAACTTAATTTACGCAACCACGAGTTCGTGAGAAAAAAGCAAAATGGCGGGTGAAAGTTAAGTGATACCGACTGATATTATTTTTCTTTTTATAATCCGAGTTGTTTTTTTTATGATTCGAGTTGATCCGAGTCCAATTTTATTTTTTTTTTTTTATTCGATCCGAGTTGGTCCGAGTCGATCCGAGTTGGTCCGAGTCGATCCGAGTTGATCCGACCCGGACTGGCGGTCCGAGTTGATCCGGTCCGACTTTTGTACCTGCCTTATAAATTACGCTTTGTGTTGTCAAGTTGAAAATGCATAACATCTGTCAAAAACCCACACGTAAAGATCTTAAAAGCAAAAGATCAGTTGCAGTGAGCTTCGCAGCGAAACCACGATTCACCATGTAGCTCTTCTCCTCGCTTTAATAACTCAGTGAATAACTGGTCCATGTGAGGGTCTTCATTCAAGCAAATTAAACTCAGCCAATCGCTACAAAATTCAGAAAACTGCAAATAAGGGTATTTGTTTTGCTCGCTTCAGGCAAATCCAGCTCCGGCAATTCACAGTGTTACGGGCAGAGTCAATTGTTTTGAAGTGACTGCCGGCAGCTGTCCTCTACTTCACAGCGAGTGAAATGGAAAATTTGCGTACAGAAAGTTATTTCTTATAAAGAACAGAAACTTTCACAGTGCAGTGGAAAACAAAACTATGTAATTAAATTGAAGAAAACTCTGACTACTTATAGTATTTGAGCAACAGAAAAATGATTCCTTTCTTCTAGAGTAAGTTTACTGGCCCGGTATTTCCGAGAAAGTTTTACGGCGCACAAAATGGTTCTTTGACTGAAGAGAAGGATAAAGCTGGTTCTACATAGGGAATAAATCTGGGCATGTGAAAAAGTATTTACTAATTTAAAAAAAAAGTGGGCTTTAATTCAGCCCGGCGAAAGAAGGCGAAATCAACTCACAAATAAATCGAATGAACAATCAAAAAAATACTCGCCTCTTTGGAAATGTTCAAAACTCTTTATTCCACCTCAGACTGACGGAATGATCCGTTTTTCCTTTAACATTGGTTGTTCCGAGTCGAAAGTAATTTTCAAGCGACGAAAAACAAAAACCACACAAAAGTAAAAAGGCTTTTCGAGGAGCAAACGTTCACACCTTCTGCATTTCATTCAGTCTTAGTCAGAACTTTCTCAGTGACGAACAAAATAAACAGTCAACACACAGAAAAGCCCGCCTTGAGCCTGCGATAAAGGATGCGTAGAAGCTTGCGCAGAACGTTTTTCCGCCCTGAAGATTCAAGATGCTGCATAAATTTTCTGCACGAACTCACCTGTCAAATTTTGACCAATCAGAGCATGAAAATTGGTCGTAGAGCGTGACCAACGCGTGAACGTGGCGAGAAAAGTCAAAAGCGACTGTCTTCCCTGCCTGTAGCAGCTGGCTGCATTTTCGCGTCCGAGGTCACTTTGAAATCAAAATTTTAATTGTGCGGCACATAAACACAACATATTTCATATGGATTTTAAAAAAATTAAACTTAAGCCTGCGATCATTTGAAAACCAGTACCTTGTCAGCGGATAACTTCAAAAAACACTTGACGTCGATGGGTCGATACCTGAGCCCGCGATACAGTCAAGTGATACTGGTCAGCGGATACCTTGTTTTGACAGCTGTCAATGGATCACAACATTGACGTGTATCAGTTTTCCAGTGCTCCGATCCCAAACTAGCTAGAAAGTATGAGACTGAACATTGATCGCGATCTAGTAAAATAATTAACTGGTCAGCGGACAGCTTCCAAATAAATCACGTCACCTCATTGAGTTGACACATGAGCCCGCGATATGGTCATGGGATACTGGTCAGTGGCTATCCTGTTTTGACAGCTGTCAATTGACCATATTGTGAACGTACGCTCGGTCAATCACGTGACAACCAAAGGAAAAGAGGTTGACCATAATCTATGGGTATAGGGCTCTAGCCCCGCTATTATTTAGTCTTGTGTCATTTTCCTTCAATAGTATGTCTCTTTGAGACGAAAAGGGAATTAGAAATTCTTCAATGATGGAGCCTGCATCACTCCCTCCTTCTCAACACCGTTGGGACCGTTGGCAACCTTTTTGAAATCTTATAAAGAGCTTGCTTGCAGCCTATTTATCTTAAAACGAGCTTTCTTGCGGCGTATTAATCTTAATATATAGATTTAGCCAGGGCCAAAAGCGAAGCTCCCATTAATAAATTTATATTCTAAATCAAACAATAAACTTGTAATCCACAAATCAGTTAACTTAAGGGCACATTCATGTGACTTTTGAGGGAAAGGATAAGTTATTTTAGAGTGAAACATCTTACATCGAGTTGATAGCCTAAATATATGTACACCCAAAAAATAGCAAACATCTTCTATCACATTCAAGAGCCATAATGGCTCTTGATAAAGTAGATTAGGCCTCGAAAACAAATTCTTGGAAAACAAATCAGGCCGCATTGTTTTGCGTTCGACAGGTTTACTTTACAAATCCTTGCCAACAAATCTGAGGGTGTGTAAACCAACCTTTTATACTTTTTATACATCACATCTGAGGTGAAACAGTACTTTTTATCATACAGACCTCGGACAGAATACGGCATTTCACAATTTTTCAATGTCCAGGACGATCAATCGTGGGCTTTTAGCGAAACCGTTCAAAAAATTTCCAAAAAACCCATACAGCCAGCCGGTTCTCATTTTTAGTGCGACCTGTCAGTGTGTTTGAATGAACTTTAATGGCGATACGCTTCAACATAATAACGAATTTATTATCATCACTTTTTGTTATTTAATGGTTCCAGTTATAACGATGTGTAATGTTATAAAGCGTTTGATACCCGCGACATTTCTAAGTACTCCTGCAAGCGATGTTCATGAACGATGAAAACAAACACCACGGACAAGCGATTAAAATTGCAAGAGAGACTACTAACAATCAATAAAAGAAATATAATTCGGTAAAACATTTACAGAGACAACAATTTTCATTCACGAAGACAAGTATTAAAGTGTCTCTAAAAATCCTGAGTCTTTAAGCTTAAAGCTTAAGCTTAAGTTTATTTTGTTTTACTTTCAGCCGGCCTTCCGGTGTTTGTTTTGTTTTTCAAAGATGAAATACTCGAAGCAAGAAAATCACTCAGAGTTTTCTTTCTACAGCTAAATTTGTAACTAAATATTCTTCGGAACGTTTTTTTTCTATTTGTCGTGAAAAAAAAAATCTGAAGGCCTTTTAAAGTTCTGTAAGCTTATATCAAACCTAATACTAGATCAGATCATTGACTCAAATCTTAACGAACGTGCAAAAACTTGCCGCATAAACTGTGCTAGACTTCATGAAATTAGATACAACAAAAACAAACATCAAATACAATAATTACTCAGGCTTACCATTCGAGATTCAGTTCCTGAAAGATATCAAGGAAGGCCATAGTTGCTTGAGACTTTTAAACCCTCTTACGCATTGAGCAAGGTGAAAGACGAAAACAATGCCATCCGAAATCGGATTACCCAATTTTGACAAGCGACGCATTTCTCAACCAAAAACCCAATAAACAAACCAGCCATGGATAACAGAAGACTCTTGATAGCAGCTGTATTTCATTTTGTACATCCAGTGGAAAAAGACAGTTAAAAACATCACAAGTTGACACAAAACTCTGTCAGCTTTACCCGTCAAAGTAAACAACATTCAAGATGCTGCATAAATTTTCCGCATGAACTCACCTGTCAAATTTTGACCAATCAGAGTACAAAAATTGGACGTAGAGCGTGACCAACGCGTGACTATGGTAAGAAAAGGTCTTCCCCGCCCTTATTTTTAAAAAAGTGGCTGAATTTTCGCGTCCGAGGTCAGTTTGAAATCAAAATCTTGACAGTGCGGGACCATAGTGACATAAACACAACTTATTTCATATGAATCGTTGGAAAAAATAGACTTGAGCCTGCGATCACTGGTAACTGGTAATTTGTCAGCGGATAACTTCAAAAAGTACTCGAATTCGATGGGTCGGCACTTGAGCCCGCGGTACGGTCAGGTGACACTGGTCAGCGGATATCCTGTTTTGACGGCTGTCAATTGAGCACAACATTGATGTGCAATTACTTTTCTACTGGGCTCCCAAACTAGCTAGAAAGTGTGAGAGAAAACATTGGTTTCCCTGTGGTGCGGACGGACGGTCGGGCGTACGGTCACGTGATTACCAAATTTTCTCGGATGGGTAGATTACCACATTTCCTTAGCTATGGAGCTCCGTCCACACGCGCGCTTCGCGCGCGGGTGGAGCTCCGCTATAAAGAGCTTGCTTGCAGCATATTAATCCTATGAAGAGCTTCATTGAGGGCTATTAATCTTATAAAGTGCTTGCTTGCGGTCTATTAATCTTATAAAGTGCTTGCTTGCAGTCTGTTTATCTTGTAAAGGGCTTGCTTGCAGCCTGTTAATGTTATCTAACCAATACATTCCATGTTGCCGTGCGTGTGTTCAGTAATAGATCACAGATGACGTCAAAATGTGGTGAAAACAGAGAAGTGGCACATGAGCCACAGGCGAGTGAGTCACATGTTTTTTTCCACATTTTGACGTCGTCTGTTGTCTATTACTGAAAAGACCCATGTGAACATAAAATCTATTCGTTTTTTACAATAAACAGAAAGGGAAAACGACAAACGTACCTCGTCCTGCTTGTCTGTTCGAGGATTTGTGCCAGGTTGAGCATTTTTCAAGTCATCACGAACGCTCTTTTTTTCATTGCTTCTTCTTTTTTCTTTATCTTACTTGTATACAGTTTCTCCGCGTAAGAATTTCAACGCCTTCCCTTGCTCAAAGCACAATAATCGCAAAAACATGCGAGTCTCTCGTAGAGATGACACACGATGGCAACTGTTGTGTGGTCGTGGTGGAAGGAAAACAATAGAAATGTGGAGGTGGTATATTACTTCACTATTAACGGAGCTGTGTTGACATAAAAGTTGAGTGTGAGGTCGATGGGGGCTCGATGTGGGGTCGATGTAGGGTTGATATGGTCGATGTTGGATCGATGTAGGGTCTATGTGGGATCGACATGGTGGAGGGAAAATAAAAATAAAAAATAAAATAGGAACAATAAATTAATTGTGGAGAAGTAGGACGGGATGGGGGTAAGTAAAACGTTGCCTTTGGTGCTAAAAAGAGCTAGTTTGCCTTCGCCGTCATTAATATGCGCGATTTGCGCGCCAATAATCAGTGAACCGGAACCCGAACAATGACAGTGGCAGAAAATAGAACCGTGCATAATTACGTCACAGGCGAGTTTGAGTTCATTCCTTAGACACCATGAATTAACCAATGAAAACGGTTCTTAGTTTTCAAATCACCCAATCGAAAACCAACACATTTACCAACCTTAACGTCACTAGAAAACCTGTCAGACCGGTTAAATCACTTAAAAATAAAATAGCAAACGACCATATCTACATGAGATTCCTCCGCATTTTTTATGATATAAAGACAAAAGGTCATGACGTCGTAGGCGTTAATATGTTCCTGCGCAAGATAATGAGATTCCTGCGCAAAAAAATGGAGAAAAACATCCCTGCCATTCTATTGCTGTAACGTAATTACGCACGTTCTATTTTCTGCCGCTGTCATTGTCGTAGTTCCAGTTTACTAGAACACCTGTCAGACAAGTTAAGTCACTTTAAAGTTGATGAGATTCCCCCGCGAAAAGGGGGTTAATTCGGTGCGCTCTATACTACTAGCTTGCTTGCAATGCAGCCTATTAATTGTCTCCTTTTTGCCTGCATCATAGATTGGCTGAAACATTCAGAAAACTGCCAGATCATATTTGCTCAGACTCTCACCTCTATTCCATTCACGATCTTTTGCAGGTAATTTATTCTAAAATAGCATTATTGTAACCGTCGCAAGGCTAGCTCAGTTGCTAGAGTGCTTGCACCTGAGCAGTAGGTCACTAGTCCGATTGCAGGGCCCGGACTAGCAGTGCTCGAATGACCACATAGAAATGGTCTTTCCTTAGTCATGAGTTCTTGTGTGTTTTCTACATTTACCCTTAAATATAGTAGGTTTAAAACCCTAAGAAACGCCTTAAGATATACAATATATGCATTATTAGAGGGCATTAAACATAATTATTTGGGCCAAATGTCCGGGTCAGTTTTGAACCAAAGGAAGTACACAATTCATCTTTCACTTATTTGGTTGGTCAGGTTTGCCTCTACCATTATGTTTTGTCTCTTTTAGGCTCGTAATGGACGACTTCTCTTGTTTCTGCGTAGTTTAGCACTAGAGTCGTTGAATCACATCACTCATTGTCAGGTATGATTATTCTGCATGGCTGAATAATTTTTATGAGCAACTTCTCCTGACTGTTTACCCTACAACCTACATCTGCTTTTTGTATAATTACAGTCGAACCTCTACTGACGGCCTCCTCTATATCCCCACAACGGTCACCTTTCTATAACGGCCACTTTGTTTTGTTCCAGCGGACAGTCCATAAATTTACTCTTGTTTAAGCCTCTCTACAACGACAACGGCTTCTAAAGCGTACCCCCAACTGCCAAAATAGCCTCTCGACAACAGTCAGTTTTTTCCGGCGACTGATGAACCTGAATTTTGACCCGTATAGCTAGTTGATAATTAATCACTGCATCTTATTTCGACTGTGTTCCCTTTACACTGCTGCAGTAATCATAAACTGTCTATGCTAATTGTAGCGAATGTTGCGAACCTTGCTTGTTTTGGCAGGTTAATTTTTTGATTCAAAACATTATTTAAGTTTTTTGTGTTTTTCTCTCTACATACTAGAACATAATTGGATTACCATTTTGGGATACAGTAAGCATTAACTTAGGAACGATATACGTGTTGTACTCTGTAAACAAAATTTGTCATAATACACCACTACCTCCCCTGAATGGCCACCTCTCTACAACGGTCACTTTCGGTCGTTGTAGAGTGGTTCGACTGTATTACGTTGTATAATATTACTTTGCCAATTTTCTACAGCTTTGCCTTGCGAAAGGATTCATTTGTGAATACTGCAAGGATGGAGATGACGTCATATTTCCCTTTCAACTCAACAGAGTTGTTCAGTGTTCAGGTTGGGTACTTGTTTTGCTACATTTCATTCCATGTTTTTTGCCATTTTTTTATCGTGAATATTGTTTATTGCTGACTGCAAATTTATACAATATGAATGATGATGTCTATAATCAAATTATTGTCTTAACAAGCAAAACGAAACAAATAAAGATCAACTGAAACTTAAGAAAATTTTGAAACTGGTTCAAAAAGTTGATCAACCAAACCAACCGAAAACGGTTGGTCCCAATAGAACACAACCATTGTCTCACAAAGGGTCAAGTACAGGGATTCTTTTTGGGGCTAGTGTCCTCGCGAAGAAGCAAAGCACACCGGCAACCGCTAATTGAACACGTTCAGGCATAGCAGGAAGAGCAGGAGAAACGCGACATCTAGGAAGAGGTGGCTACCCACCTTGTTCCCAAGCATCCTATCTGCTATGATTCATACTCTTTATTTGACCTTTCACAAGATAAGAAACTTGAAACTTTCAGTTTTCAGGGATTTTCAACCTCGAGTTCATGAAAGAGAACGGAAAAAAAATGCTGAAGACAGTTATTTTTGACTAGAAACACGTTATCGCAAAATCCTCACCAAGCTCTTAAGGGTCAGCAGTGAGAAACAAAGGAAACAAGCCAAAGGGAAAAAATATGATCAAAAAAGAAATTGTACAAAGAAAAGAAAACACCCACGGCGAGATTCGAACACCTCTTGTGCGAGGAGTCAGCTCCCAGAGGTTACGCTGTTGCGGAATGGTTGGCTCGGTAAAAGTGTTAACTTTAAAGCAGTCGTCTTTGCCATACGCACTGTTTGAAGCTTGTGGAGCTGTATTTATCATGAATTCAAATGTACTTTTGAGAACAAATGGCTTTAATGATAATTTCGGAGTCATGCTGTATTATTTCAGTGTTAATCCGATCGATGTATGAAGCTGGGCTGAAACCGAGCAGTCTTTGATGTGGTCCATCGGTCACATCGATCGGCGGGGAAAGAACCAATTCACTGTGGGTTTTCCTCAGTGTAATACGAATTCAAAGGTGTAGATTTCAGGGAAAAGCAAGGTTTTGACGGTAAAAAGTCGAACTGAGACGCACTTCCGAAAAACGAACAAATCCCACGACCTATTAAGCCGTATTAAAATCGCCTGCGAAGTGAGACGCACCGACAAATATTTTTTATCTTGATTTTCGCTCCTATTTCTTTAAAGCTACTGGTCTTCATTGTTGTCTGCAAAATACTTTGCCGTCGAGTTTGCTGGTCGTTATGATCCACGTGTGACAAAATTGTAAATTTGGCTTTTGCGAGGAACAAATTGAGAAAATGGTTTCATGGCGTTTGTGCTTTTTAAAAAGAGGAACGTAAAAAAAGAAAAAGTATTTTTGTTAACCAAATTAAACCATATTTAAACTAGAAATACGTGTATTGCAGAATCTCGCAAAGCTCAGGAGGAGGCCCATAAATTGGAAGTGGGGAGAGAATTGGAGTAAATTGTGTAACTAGGGAGGGCGCGTTTCAACACTGGCTTTAAAATTGGAAGGTGAATTGTAGTTAATCTCCTTTTTTATAGGGAGGAACGATGATATTTTGCTATCAGCTAGACAGATTTTTAATTGTTTGTCTGCTTTCTGAAGTATTTACCCAACAAAACTCCATTTTCAAGGAGAATATTGTCCCCAAAAAATGCAATTTTTTGCCCAAACTTCTCCCGCTGATACCCAGTGCAAGTTTTTGTTAGTAGTCAAACAAATGCCATAGTGAGTAGTTTCATCTGAAGTACTTACCACAGAAGGTTTTGTTTTACCATTTCCAATCTTGGTCAATCCTTAGCGACATTCATTCATAAATTTTCGCTGGTTGATACTGAAATTCCCTGACTTGTTAAATTGTCCTTTACAGGGAAAAGAATTAATTTTCCTGGCATGGCAACTATTTCACACACTAATATTCTGACGAGATCCAAAATACAGATGTTCTTTTCGAATATTAAGTAGGATCAAAAATAGTCAGGTGGCATAGATTCGTGTAGTGGCTCAAGGCTTTTCATCAGTTCAGACTTTGTGCCTGGCAAATAAAGTTTGCCGAATCCTGACATTGAGGGAGGAAAGGATTGAACTTCATGGGAAAAGAATTCTTCCAAATCCCCTTCACGGTTCTGCATTGAGATATACAACTGACAAAAAGAGACACACTATTTTCATGAGCTTTAATCTTCTTTCCTTTCTTCGGCTTAATCTTTGGACTCGGTTTCTTGAAGAGTGCTTATGAATAGATCGGTTTCGTTCTTCCAGTACTTCTCTGACAAAGTTACTGTATTGCTTCTTGCTTGTGTCTTCAAGGGTGTACAATGCAGCTATGGCCGATTCATCAGCGCAATCTCGACTGTCTAAGGATACGAGATCTGAAAAATCGGCCAAGAAACGGTTCCCCATCTTTTTTATGATGCTACAGAGACTAGTGACCTGCCTTTGAAAGGTTTTTTGCGTTGATAGACCTTGCTCGTGATTCAGAAAGTTTTGGGGATTATCTGGATCGTTATCAGAAAAGAGTTCCCTCTCGAACTGTTTCCGAAGTCTTGACAGCTCTGGTTCTGACAGGATCCAGCGTCTGACGGCAACAGGATTTTCTGTAAGACCAATACAACCCCTCGAGCCTTTCACGTGATCGAACAGAATTCCAGAGAATGTATTGGCCGTTTTTGAAATAACCCAGTTACCCTTAATCTGAAACTCTTCTTTGATTGGTCGAGGAAAAGATTTCATATCTCTTATATGAACGGGTAGCCACCTTGCGTAATTGACATGGTCTAAGGCAAAGAGCAAAAGTGCTAGTTCTTCCAAAACGTTCACATGCAAAGGAACGGTTTTCTCCCTGTGAGCCCGGACAAAGATGAGAATAAGAGTTTCGTATCGCAAAATAAGCTCCCATAAATGTTGGACTTTTAGCTATCATCTGTAATCTCCAGGCTTCAGCTGTTTCTTTGTGTTCAGAGCCATTACATCTTAAGAAAGCTTCACGTTGAAGGATATGCAAGGTTAACAGTGTGACTTGGTGGGCGTGTCTGGTACGGGTGAGGTGTGCTGCGTTCAACATCGATTTTGCAGTCCCGGCAGAAGATACTTCAGCTTCTGATAGAGCTGATGTCCACCCAGAGCCTTCCCGTAAATCTCCAAGTACGTTCCAAAGGTCCATCTCTGTGTGCAACCCTCCCAGCGTGGCTACATACTGTCCTTCGCCATGAGTGGCTGGAAACTGCCATTGGGTCAGCTTTGCCAGGGCGAGGAGTAGCTGATCAAACGTAATGACTGGAATCTGACCAGGGTTAAGGGTTAAGTAAGTTTGTCGCTTGCTTCATTACATCTATACCGTGCTGAATCATTGTAGATGTAGAAGAGAGGAAGCATTGCACACAAAGCTGGAAGCCCATGTGTCGGTCTTTGTTGAGAGGCGCGATAAGCTGCCCATGCAATAACGTCTCCTTTCTGTATTTCGTCTTTTTTCAGAAGTCGCGTGGAGATCTGCACCGATTTATTTTTCACTTCTAGGGCTTTATCCAGGCAGACCTTTGTTGCTCCACCTTTACCACTGGGACAACAGTGTTAGAACTTTGCCATGAACAGTAGCGTTGGTTTCAGGGAGCTGAACATGCGTTCCTTTCACGGAAGGAGGAAGCGTAACTGGCGGTCTACATTCACCGGCTTGTTTCGGGATGGAAATTGGAACATACTAATACCAGTACCGTGGAAAGAGCTTTGTGATGTAGTGAACTGAGATTATGGTCCAGGTTGTCCAAAGCACCAACACTAAACAGACCTCTGTGCAGGCAAACAGGAGATACAACTCCGTCCTCGTCAACAAGTGTGCGAATTGCTTTGGCAAGCTCCCTAAATCGTCGTGGAAAATTTATAGTTTTTTTAATGCTGGGCAAACGGAAAAACCGGTCAAAAACCGGTCACAAGCCTGCCATCTCCAGATGAAAAAAAAATCGAAAGACAAAGCAAAGGCACACTCAACTGCGTCGGAGACTGACGAAGTGTTCGAAGCTTTAGAAATGGCGGAAGGTGTGGGGTCGAAGCTTGAAGCTGTACTTAAAAAAAATTTGAAAAGCTTGATACTAATGAAAGCCACTTGAGCCAGATGCACACAACGCTAGCAAGTATTGAAGAAAATGTAAGCAGGCTGGATTCGGAAGTGGAAGATCTCGAAACAAAGTCCAAACAGCTTGTCTCAACAGTCAATGAAAT